CAAATCCAAGGTTCCCTGGTCCCGTGGGCCTCCTGCAGTCTGACCCCTCTGACCTCTGTTTCACGGCCCAGGCTCCCAGCCCCTCCTCTGCACCATATTCCACAGCCACAGACTCCCTGGCCTCACTGTCCCTCTTCCCCCAGGAGGAAGAGCCACACATCCAGCTCCAAGTACTCGTTCCCTTGTCCCCTCCCCCAGACTCATCTCTACCCACCAGGGGAAGCCCCAAGGCTCTAAGACACCCCCACTCCAACGTGGGGCTGTCCCTGCCCAGCCTCCCCATAGAGCCCTGGAGGGATTTGAGGAGGTCCAGGGCCTGAGCCCTAATTTCCTAGCAAGATGAGGGGGGACCCTTACTGAACCAGCTCTTCCCAAACAATCTTGCCCTACAAAGACTGCAGCCAGAGAAAGGGATGAGAAATCAATGCCTAAGTCTCTCCACTTGGGGGGGGGGGGTCAGCAGCAGAATGAGGGTTGGGGTAGAGTAGCGGGACCTCACCAGCCCCCCCAGAACATATACACTCCTGTACACAGGCAGCCACAGGAGGTCAGCTGCTTACAGAAGAGGGAGGCCGGTCCAGGGTGGGAGCAGAGGGTACCCTCTATGTCAGCACACTGGGGACCCTAAGACAGAGAAGAGGTTGGGGAGACTTCTCCAAGCCTAGGGGCTTTTCCGTCAGATTTCCGAGAGTTGTTGGGCACCCCACCTAGCACACAGTGGGGGGCTGACTCCTTGCCCAGCAGCAGCCTGACAGCCGTGCCCAGTTAGGCGCGTAGGGGACTCAGCCAAGCCCATGTTCCGGCCCCCGCCCCCAGCAGACACACATCTGGCTAGCAGCTTCCAAGCCTCGTGGGTAGCACCCGGTCCCAGACATGCTCAGCAGAGCAAGGTCGGCCAGTCTGCTCCTCCGCCTCCACTCACCCCAAAAGGCTTCCACAACCCCACGCAGCACAAGACCCGGGGACACCCCACCCAACGGCACCAGCTCGCACCCCGCACCCCAATCTCCGCCCGCCTCCACGGGGGCACCAGCTGAGCGGGCCCCGCCCCCCAGCCTGTCCCTCCGGTGTTGGGGGAGCAGGCGGGTTCTCCCCCAAACCACGGAGCGGCTCAGGTAACCGGAGGGAGAGGAGGAGGGGCCGGTCCGGTGGGCATCTGATCTCTCCCCAAACAGGTTTGAAAGTCTTTTTGTTTGGCTTGGTTTTGAAGAGAAAAGAGAAAGGAGCTCCCGGAGGCAGGTCTGCCTCGCTCGAGGCCGGGGACACGCGCGGAGGGCGCCCCAAGCCTCGAGGCTGCACGCGAGGGCTGGGCGCAGACGGGGCTCCCCGCCCTGCACGCGGCGGCGGCGGCGGGCTGGGGCGCCCAGGGAAGCCCTGCGCCCTGGGGATCCGCCCGCGCCGGGTCCCCGCCCCAGCTCCCATCTCGGGCAGGCCACGGGCCCCCAATCCCGGCAGCAGCCAAGGGCTCCCCAGATCCCCGGGGAGCAGTTACCTCGCGGCGGGGGCTGAGCCCGTCCGGGTGCCCGCGGGCACGGCGTCCGCCCGCACTTGGCGCCTCGGCGCGGTGTTGGGGCGCGGGGTCCCGGGAGAGCGACCTCGGGGTCCGGGGCTCAGGGGCGCGGGGCGACGGCCGCGGCCATGGCGAGTCACGTGCGGAGGCTGAAACTTTACCCGGAGCCCCAGACTGGGGGGGCGGCGGGGACCGAGAGGGGTGGGGGCGGCCCTCCTTGGCACCGCCCCTGATCGTCCCAGCCAATCAGAATCAGGGGGCGGGGCCTTGGGCTCGAGCCCGCCCCTGTCTCCTTAACAGACCCGGGGAAAGGGCGAGTCTTAAAGGAGCCGGTCGCGGCTGAGGGCTGGACCGTGGGAATCTGAGAGATTCCCTCCCTCTGAGCCAGAATGGGAGATGCATAGCGCGCGGGGGGCGGGGACGCGCTGTTCTGTGGAAAGAATGGAAATAGGGCTCGGTGGAGAAAGGCCCGCAGTGTGTGGTAACCCACACTCCCTTCCCCGAGCCACACGCCCACACTCACTCACACACACACCCTTAAACCCGGGAAGAAAGGAGGTGGTGAATGTGGAAGTGAACGCAGTGACTCCTCCCCGCTGCCAAACCCCATCTCTCCTGATGACAGTCCTCCAGGTCCCCGCTGGAGCTCAGCTGTGTGACCTTGAGCAAGTCACTGCCCCTCTCTGGACCTTAATTTTCTCATTTCCAAAAAGGGAGAGCGGGTCTCCTGTATGCACGCCTTCCTTAGGCCGGGGGATCTGGCCCAGCCAGGATCCTTGGTCCCCGTGAAGTACCCTTCGCCCAGGGCAGCACTTGGAGGTCCCGGCAGGGGCGCCCTGGAGCACCCCTCCTGCCTGCAGCCTGGGAAGCAGCTCTCGTCCGAGCTCCAGCCCGATGGGACCTGAGCCGCGCTCCATCTGCAGCCCCAGCCCCAGCGCGGCCACAAGCCCCTCCCACCTGCTGCCCTTTTGGGGACGATCGCGTCCCCACCTTTCCCGGTTGGAGCCGTCGCCGCAGGTGCCCGCAGGATTCCCACGAGGAAGGGCAGCGCCACTCGCCCGGGCCTGCGCCCCAGGGGAGGAGCCCACGGGGTGACCCGAGCAGACCCCTCAGGCCCACCAGTCCCCGGACCCCCGCTTTACAGACAGGACCGGGAGGCCAGAGGCGGCCACTAGGCTTTGTGCTCGTTCCACTGCCTGCAGAGCCGGCTCTAGAACTGAGGTTCTGTTGCCGCTTTGCCCCGCCCCCGCTCCGCCCCGCCCCGCCCCGCCCCGCCCGCAGCCTGGGAAGGGAGCGCAGCCGGCCGCTGGAGCTCGGTCCTGGGGTCCGGCGCAGGGGAAACTGCAGGCAGTGCCTGCCTCCCAGTCCCTTCCCGCCCGTGCCCTGGGCAGTCTCTGGCTCCCGTCTGGATTTCCGTCCGCCAGTGCAAACCGCCCGCGCCGCCCTACCTCCCCGTCCCGTCCAGATCCATCCGCAAACATGCGCTCAGCGGGCAGGAATGCGCCAATGGCTCCCAGATGTGGACGCCGACCTTAACCCCTTCTCCCCCAGCACCCCTACCCCAAGGGCCTTGTAGCCTGAGCCCCACCAATGGCAGGCCCCAGGAGGAGGCTCACCACCTGCCACCTCCTACCCCCACCGGCTCCACCCAGTTTAGATGCTGCAGGTGAGGCCAGGGGAGAGGTTGGTGGAGAGAAAATGCATGAGTGTGCTGTGCGTGGACAGAGCCCCCCACCTCCCTCGGGGAGACCTTCACGTCCACCTGCCAGGGAGTCAGGTACACCCTGCACGCAGCTCAGGCACCCTCACATGCACACCTACATGCACATCAGGTTCCGAGCATGTGTACGCACATGCGGCTCCAACAAGCATTGCAAAGAGAAGTGTACACACACGGGCACGAAGCAGGGGTCTTCGAGCTCCTGAACAGACACAGCTGCAGCCCATGTGCAGACCAGAGAAGGAGAGGAGGAATCCGTGTACACACAAACCCATCCTTGTAAGGGTCAGACACCCTCACAAACAGCCTGAGCACCTTGGGAGCACCCTCTCCCACCCCGGGCACCCAGTTCCACCTGTCCGAGCCCTAGCCCTACCCAAGCTCCACTCCAGGAGCCAGGATAGTCCCCAGGTAGGGGCCAGGACCCTCAGGCCTCAGCAGCAGCTGAGCTCCAGGTTCACTGCAGAATTCAGCAAATTAGCAGAGGGAGGAGGGCACGGCCCAGGGTGCAGGGCTCTTCAGGAGTGGGGCCTACCCTTTCCCTGCAGGACAGAGGCTGGGGAAGAGCTGGCGGCTGATTTCTCCAGACAAGGATCCTTCTCAACAGAGGAAGCCAGGTGCAATGGTGCCCACCTGGAAGCCCATTACTGAGGGAGGCCAAGGCAGGAGGGACGAAAGTTTGAGACTAATCTGGGCAACTTTTCGAGATCCCGTCTCCAAATCAAAAATAAAAAGTTTCGCCACCTGCTGCACAAGCTCAAGGACCCAAGTTCAATCCCCGGTACCAAAAAATAAAAATTAAAAAATTAAAAATAAAAAGTGGGCCGGGGATTTAGCTTAGTGATGCCATGCCTGCCTTGCAAGTGTAAGGTCATGAGCTTGATCCCCGGTACTGCAAAATAAAATAAAATAAAATAAATAAAAAGTGATGGGGATGTAGCTCTGTGTCAGAGCAATCCTGGTTCAGTTCCCAGTACAAAAAAGGGGGGGGGAGGATTTAGCTCAGTGGTTCCGCCGCCTGCCTCGCAAGCACAAGTTCCCGAGTTTGATCCCCGGTACCAAAAAAAAAAAAAAAGAGGAAGCAAAGCGATCATGGGTAAGCAGTGGCTACACACGGCTCTCAGTAGTCGGAAGAGCTGTGAAGCAGCCATGGGAGGCCCGCACTTCCCTCATGGGCTGTGGTAGTAAGTGGAGGCTGAAGGAGAGACCAGGAGCGATTGTCCCTCCCTCTGCCACCCCCTGGATGCAGGCTAGACCTTTGCTAGAACCCACCCCAACCACCCCTCTCCCGCCTCTCAGCTTATCCAAGGAGGAACGGCAGGGCTCCTATTTCCATTGTACAGATGAGGAAACCGAGGCTTGAAAAGTATATTGCACCCAGGCATAGTGGAGCATGTCTGTGATCCCAGCACTTGGGAAGCTGAGGCAGGAGGATTGCCTGAACTACACCAAAAAAAAAAAAAAAAAAAAAGTTGAATCTAGCCTGAGCAAGCAATTTAGTGACCCTGTCTCAAAAATCTTAGTTTTTAACTTTCTTTCTTTCTTTCTCTCTGGGTGTTTTGAGACAAGGTCTCACTATGCAATTCGGGCTGGCTTTGAACTCACTGTGTAGCCCAGGTTGAAACTGAACTCATGGAGATCCTCCTGCCTCAGACCCCCAAGCACTGGGATTACAGGTATGCACTACCATGTTTAGCTTCAAAATTTTAAAAAGTTTTAGGGCCGGGGATTTAGCTCAGTGGTTCCACCGCCTGCCTCACCAGTGCAAGGTCCGGAGTTCGATCCCCAGTACCCAAAAAAAAAAATTTCTTTTAAAGGTCCTGCCTGGGAGGTAGTTTCATTCAATTCCCAGAGCCACCACCACCACCACCAAAAAAATAATAATAATAAGTAAACTGCCTTGCCAATGTCATGTGGCCTGTCCACACCAGAGCTGGGATTCGAACCCACAGTCCTCTCTACCCTGAATTTACTCCAAGTCAAATACATCCACCCCCTCTGCTGCCCACTGCCTCTTTCCTTCCCCTCCACCAAGGGTATGGGAGAAGCAGCAGCCCTGCAGGCTCTGTGGGCTTCTGGGCAGTCCCAGGACCTGACAGAGAGATCAGAGCGGGCATCGGGGGCTCCACGCGAACCCTCACCCCCACTCCAAGCGTGGTGCCCACCCGCCTAGCTGGCATGGCGGGGTGACTCAGCCGCATCTGGGGGAGATGCCAGGGCAGTGACTCACCTACCGAGAAGAGCTGAGCCTGGCACTCTGCCAGCCTAGGACAGAAGCGACTTAGTCACCACCCACCGGGACTGCGCTGCCCGCAGGCGTGGCCAGCGATCGGGACAGGGGCTGTGCCCTCTGCCTACAGGCGCCCCCTGGTGAAGACAGGCGGGCTTTAGCATCCCCACGGGGCTGGGCCCGCTCCTGCCCCTCTCCACTGCCCACCCCCATCTCGCCGGACCCTGCTCCCGTGGCAACAAGCTGGTGAGACCCCTGGGCCGCTCTGCCCCCTGCCCACCACTCACCACCCCCTCTCCTACCTGCCCCACCTCCTCCTGCCACCCAGGTTGTACCGGGGCGCGAGTCTCCTTTAACGTGTCCTGGCAGCACCCCTGCCCCGGCCCCACGCCCCACGTACACACACATGCGCTCACACACGCTTCTGCCAGCCGCACGCTGCCAGCAGCTGCCAGAGCTGTTGAGCAGGAGGGAGCCCGGGAGGGTGGGGTGCAGGGATTGGGTTTCCAGCTCCGAGGGGGTGGGCCGTCACCCAATCCCTTCTCCCTCCCGCGGCCTCCCTCCAGCCTCTGGCAGGCAGCCCACTACCCTTGGAGCCCGGCCCCCACCCCCAGTCCACCTAGTGTAGGAAGTAAGCGTTGGAGAGTATTTGTCATGCGGAGACCAGCCCAGGAGAGGAGAGAAGCAGCAAGGCGGAGACAGACAGACAGACAGACAAACAGACGGGATTCCTGTGCTCTGTGCTCCAGCTGCAACCAACCACTAGGTGTGGATATCTTTGTGTGTGTCGAGGCCGAAGGGGATGGAGGACTCTGAAAGTCCCTGTGGAGTCAGTGGGGCCTGAGGGGAGTTGACAGCCTGAACAGCCTCAGTCCATTTGCACTATCGATTTCTCACAGCAGTGGGGTCGAGATAAATCAGCCCCCCTGAGAGGGGCCATGGGTCGGGGAGGAGCTCCCACACCGTAATTTGTGGCCACTGGGGAGGGGACAGCGGAGGGGCAGGAGCAGCTGAGTGGCTGGTGGGAGGCTGGCTGGGGAGAGGGGTTGCATTAAGGCCTGTCTGGGACACCTCCCAGCTGGGCCTGAAGTCAATTTGAAGGCGAAGCAGGGGACAGAGGTACCACGTCTGCCTGCAGAGGGACCTGAACAACTCCAGGGGGCGTTGTTTACTCACAGCCCAAGGTCAGGTTTCCCTGTAGCTGTACAACACGGCAGCCCTCAGGGAGACAGAACTCAGGCTGGACCCCAAGGGGCTGTGATTATGCTCCCAGTTCTCTCCCACAGCACCCACCCCTGCCTCCAGGCCTCAGAGAAGGGATCCCTTTGGACCAGGAATCAGAAGCCCAGAGCCTGAGCTGGCCGAGGTAAACCACACCTGTGATCCCAGCACTGAGGAGGCTGAGGCAAGAGGATCACCACAAGTTTGAGGCCAGTTTACCCTACATAGTGAGTTGAAGCCCAGCCTGGCCTACAGAGCGAGACCCAAAACAAACTAACAAATAAACCTGTCCTGTCTCCCTGCCAATCAGCCCTGCTTGCTTCCTGAGCTGGGGAATCCTAGTCGTCCTGTCCTTAACTGGTCCTGTCACTGTGGACACATCCCTGGCCGGGTCCCTGGCCGGGTCCCTGGTCTAATAGGAGGCAACTGGGCAGGACGCCCCTTCTGGGAGGTGTCTCCGCGCCCCAGTGCTTGTCAGCATGAGTGTGCTGGGCCCTGTCCAGCAGCTTCATTCACACCAGCAGCCGCAGGCCACCCAAACAAACCCCAGTGCAGCCTCCCCAGCCAAGCCCGTGCTCCCAAGAGACCTGCACACAGGCAGAGGGGGAAAGGGCTGTGTGTGTGTGTGTGCATTGTGTGTGCGTGTGTGTGTGTGCTCGCGCACGCGCGCCCACCTGGCCTGTGGACCCCGCGAGGTGAGGCGGCGAGGAACATTGACCAAGAAGAGCAGCAGAAGGGGCTAGGCTGAGTCCTAGTGGAGCCACAGACTGGCAGAGCCCTAGCACAACCCACATCCGCGTTCGGGGCTCAGTCTCCCCTTGTGAGTGGAGGTGCCATCCAGGTGTCTTCCTGGCCCCTCCCAGGTCTGAGCTCCCGTCTCTGCCCGGGTCTGCCCCCTTGCAGCTTGCCTGCCTCCTCCTACACCTGGGCCCTGGGGCCCTTCCCATTCCTTGCCCACCTGCCAACCCTCACCTCCAACACCCCTTGGCCTGCCCCGTGCTCCTCTGCACGTTCCTCCTGCCAGCGGACAGGCGACTAAAAATAGTCCCTACAGTCTTTCTCGCCCACAGCTGCCCGGAGAGCAGGAAGCAAGGGGCCAGGGGGGCTCATGGCCAGCCCTCCTCTGCCTGCTCCCGCTCCCAGGCTGGCCCAGCACTCCGGCCAGGGCTGCTGCCAACTTGGCCATCTTTGGGGCATCCACGCCCCTTCCCTGGAGGGAGGCCGGCCCGTCAGGTCAGTGTCAGTTCGAGCCTCTGGAGCTGCCCTGCCCTGCAGGAGGTGGAGAAAGAAGGCGGGCGGCCTGGAGGGAAACCTTCCCAATTCCTGACAAATCAGTGCCGACCACGTTGTGGGCACGAAGAGACCAGGGCTTGGTTCCCCGGCTGGTCTTTGGAGGGCGGGGGGTTGGCATAGAGAAACCTGTGCCAGTTTCCTTCATCCTGGCCCAGTTGGAGGAGAGGCAAAACAGTGCCCCAGCCTCATTATGCTAAACTCCCACTCCCCTAAATATGTGGGTACAGATGTAGGGGTTTGGTTGGCCACCCTCCGATGTCACAGGGGGGAAAAACCTTTATCTGCATGTAAAGACAGAAGCCCGGAGGCCAGGACAGGCTATGCCAGGCTGGGGCTACGCTGGCCTCCAGCTGAGCTGAGTCAGAGGCCCTGAGGGAGAAGCTGGGACTCAGATGCCTTTATCCCCTTCACCTTGTCTCACCTGGGATCCCTGACGCCTCCCAGCACCAGGCAGGCAGGAAACCAGCCCAGCCACTCTCTGGAGACCCTCGAGGGAGCCCTGTTCCATGAGGCTGACAGCCGGGAAAGCAGGAGCCCTGGCGCCTGGCCCAGAAAGGGAGGGAGAGGGATAGCTCAGAGGAGAGGCAGACCTGGGCCGCCACCCGAAGCTCCCAGATGTGACCCGCAGGGGGTTCTAGGCCAAAGTTCTAGATGAGGAATTGCAGAGCAGGGAGGAAACTGAGGCAGTCCAGAGTCAGAGGCCCTGACAGGTGACACTGAGGCAGGCTACCGTGTGTCACCCAGTCCTTGGTGCCCGACCGAGTGTTTCCCTCAGCCTCACCTCCAGCCCCTCGCCTGCTCCTGGCTGAGCTGCCCCTGGCACCCCTCCCCTGGGGCCAAGCCCAGTGAGGAGTCAGTAGGCCCACGGAGGTGTGGAGAGCGCCGGCAGTGCCAGGGGCAGCCTTCCTCCGCCTTCCGCTGGCTGCCCTCCCACCCGCCACACAGATCTCAGCTGTCGGATCCAATTAGGGCTCCTGCCCAGTGGGCCGGACAAGGAGGCCACTGGATAGGGAGGGACAGACAGGGAGGGGAGCAGCGGGCATGGCGGGGAAAGGTGGAGACAGGGCTCAGGGAGGAAGCAAGAGCCTGCCGGGCTCTGACGGTGGCACAAGCAACAGTGACCCCGCGTGTGGGAATTTCTCCAGACGCTGGGCATCAGCTGTGCCTGTGGCCCTGTCGTCCCAGTGGGCAGGGATGCCGGAAGGAAATGGGAGGCAGAGACAGTGACCCAGATTCGGGGAGAGCTGCCCACCCTGGAGCCTGCCAACCTGGCTCCCACCTGCACAGTGCCTTCCTGCGCACTATGGGGGCTCTGTACGGTGGCATGGCCCGCCAGCAACCACTCCCAGCAGAGCTCCGCTTTAGGCCTCAGATCCCCAGTCCACTGGGACTCTCCACTTTCCTTCTTCGATCAAGGGCAGAACTGAGTCTGAAGCCACTGAGACATCCACCCTTCCACCCAAAGGAACCTTGCAGGGTCAGAGCACACCCTGCCCCTAGACAGCTAACAGAGGGCTACACACACACACACACACACACACACACACACATACACGGGGACTCCCTCAAAGTGAGTCCAGTCTCTTCCCACGCTTACCAGCCTGCTACCCAGAGGTGAGACACTGGCATATAGCTACTCAGCGAAGTCCTTGGCCCTTCCTGTACACCCACCCAGCCCAAGGGAGATGCCTAGGGTCTTCAGAGAGCAGGGCCTGCAGCCACCACGGGAGAGAGAAACAAGCCAACATCAGCAGTAGGTGCCACCCAGTCCTCTCCAGCACGCCTGAAGGGGGCAGAAACCCCGGGGACCTCCCAGCTCGGAGCCCGAGGATCCGAGAGCCAAGGAGCCCAGGAAGCTGGCATGGCGTGTGACCTCCCTGATCTGTCCACATGCCCTCCCGGCCATCTGGAGCCAGCCTGTTCCAGCCTGGGCCATCGTCTGCCATCCCTCCAGGAAGCTGTGTCCAGAACTTACTGCTGCCTGGCCACATGGTCTGCACACACACGCACATGCACACGCAGGGCAGGGCGTCTGCAGGAGGTGTGAGGCCTTGGCAAGGATGGAGGCTCTGTCTGGGCTGAAAACTTTCCCTGCAGGAAGAGCTCACCCCAGCGCTTGGATTCTCCACCGCCTCCAGCACAGCCCTTGGCCACCCAAGTGGGAGAGCAGCCTTTGGGGGACATCTGTGCCCTACCAGGAGGGGAAGGGCTGGGGCGGGGTCCTGATCCCCGGGCTGGGCTGGGAGGTGGAGAGGAAGCAGGGCAGAAAGCCCACGGAGCCGACCCCCAGCGCCCCCAGACCCCAGGACCCCGCTGCCAATTCTGCACCTAGGTGAGGTGGGGGAGGGGTGGGCAGCACCGCAGAGCAGGGTGCAAGGGCGTGGGGCCTGGGCGGGCTCTGGGGCAGAGGGGCCCTGGGGTGTGGAGGCCAGAGCTTGCAGACTCCCCGCTGTGCTGGGCGCCCACCGCAGGACTCCAGGGAGCAGTGGGGGAGGAGGGGTGGGCAAAGCCCAAACTGGGGAGGAAGAAATGGCCAGAAAGCAGCCAAGGGGCCTGGGGGCGGCCGAGGGGCCACCGGGGAGGGGCGTGCGGGTCCTACCTGCTCAGGTGCGCGCTGGCAGGGGCGCCGGGTTCCCGGGAGGACGGGGAAGCCCTCTCAGCTCGATTCAGGGTTCCCCCCTGCTCCCGCTTAGGCTGCTGCAGGAGCACAGGCTCCCGTCGGGTCCTAATGTCCACCCTCCGAGCTAGGCTCTCCCCACCCCTGGCAGCCCTGACTAGGTCAGCGGGTGCAGCACTGAGACTGCAGGGGAGAGGGGCCCACAGCAGGAAGAGGGGCCCTAGGCCAGGACCAGATAGGAGCCGGGGACGATCCCTGGGCTCAGACCCAACCTGTGAAGGACGGGCCGAAGATAGGATGGCAAGGGACAGGAGCAAGGGACACTGGTTCCTGCCTAAGGGGAGCAGGGGGAGTTGGGTTTGGGCTGGAGATGAGGGTTAGGTCTCTCCCCTTCCCTTCCTGAGGCCCTTGCATGGAGAACTGAGGGGTAGGAATACCCCTTTGTCCCCTTCCTCAGACTACAGCAGTCCCCCAGCTGGTCCCACTACTCCTCTGTCCAGGAGGCCAACCTGGGGAAACCTTGACTTTCAGCACGTGAAAAGGACAGATGACTTAGACCGTGTTGGAAACTGCATCCTTAGACTGAGGCGAGCGTGCGTGCGGGTTATGCAGATAGACAGGCGAGAATCCCAGCAGGTGGGGCTAAGGGACAGGTGGACAACCACAAAAGGACTCAGGTTTATGTCCACGGCTAGAAATGGCCAGGAGGCCTGCTGGAATCCCAGCACTCAGGAGGCTGAGGCAGGAGGATCACCACGAGTTCAAGGCCAGCCTGAACTACATAGTGACACCTCATCTCAAATAAATAAGTGCAAACAAACAAACAAAAAAACAAAACCTAGAAATGGCAATTGTCAGTAGACAGGACGCAGAAGTCACAGGCGACTAGCTCCCCAACCCTGCTGTCACAGTGTCCTGAGCCTTTATGAACAGGCTGAGGAAGTTAGCAAGTGTTTCCCCAGGGATTTTTTTTTTTTTTTTTGGGTACCGGAGATCGAACTCGGTACCTTAGCTTTCGAGGCAGGGGGTGGCACCACTGAGCTAAATCCCTGGCCCTACGCAGGGATTATTTTGAATAAATATAGGGGGCAGAGGGGCTTCTGGTTTTGTTTTTTTGAGATAAGGTCTTGCTATGTAGTCTAAGCTGGCCTCGAACTTAATATGTAGTCCAGGCTGGCCTCAAACTCAAGATGTTCCTCTTGCCTCAGCCTCCTGAGGGCTGGGATCACAGGGGTGTGCCACCATGCCTGGCCCAGAGGGGCTTTTTTAAGGTGCAGGGTAGTTAACCCCAGAGTCTCGTGAATGCTGTGTAAGCACTCGAGGGATGAATCCAATAGATTAGCTTCAAGGCCATGGGCTCAGTCTCGGGTACCAGCTTTCCCTTCGGCTCCAATGGGAGCCTTCAGGTTTGAGGGAAGGCAGGCAAGGGAAAAGTGGGTGAAAGGTTGCACAGTGCTGGTCTGAGAACGTTTGTGGTGGGGTGGACCTGGGGATTGAACCCAGGGCCTTTGCACTGAACTACATCCCCACCCTTTTTTTTGGAGACAGGGTCTCTCTACGCCACGCTACTCAGTTGTTCAGGCTGAACCTTGAATTTAGGAGCCTCCCGCCTCAGCCTCCCAGAGCTCTGGGGTCATAGGTGTGCGCCACCAGGCCCGGGTGTAATGAGAGCGTTTTGCAAGGAGAGTTGCGCCATTATCTCTGGGAATAGAGCAGGGCAAATGTCACTGGGCAAAGGGCTGGGGGAGGTCCAGGGTAGACTGGAAGGAAAGGGGAGGCCGCTTCTTCTCAGGAGGGGAGAAGGCACTAACAGCGCCTCCGCCCTTGTCTTCCAGGAAGAAGCGCGGAGGGCCCGGGCCCAGGACGCAGACGCCAGGCCGGGGCCCAGGGGTGGAGCCTGGGGTGAGCTTAGGTCAAGCTTCTCACCCTAGTGTGCCCGGTCCTCTCCCAGCTGCTAAACAGGGCTCCGGGTATTCCCAGGCCGTTAATGAGTGTTTACAGAAGGGCTGGGAGCTCTCGGATCCCAGCTGGGCCCCAGGCAGCCAGAAAGCCCGAGCGGGGAGACCAGGGCCCGTGCTCTGCGCGGAGGGGAGAGGGCGGAGGGCGGAGGAGACGCCTGCCGCAGGATGTCCTCCTCGCGCCCGTCTGGGCGGCAGCTGGTCTTCATTAACGCCAGCGCTCGCACCCCGCCGCGAGCCCCGAGCCGGCCTGTGGGCTCTGGGGTGCCCAGTCCGACCTCGCGGCCAGGCTGACACCGGGCTGGGGCCACCGAGCGAGCGCGGGGCGAGGCCAAGTCACCGGCGCAAAGCGAGTCCGAGCCGAGCGGGCTCCGGGTTGCCTGTCGCCGTGGGGAGCAGGGCGGAAGGAGAGCAGAGTGGGGTGAGAGGGTGGAGGTGGGGAATTTAGGGCAAACAGCAGGCGTGAAGTCAGCTGGATGGAGGCCCAGAAACCCCCACGCCCCGGGGCCAGTCTCACTCCGGCTCTGCTCGCTCGGCTCTGCTCGGCTCGGCTTGGCGAGGCCCCAAACTAGGGAAGGCCCTGGCTGCCCCGTCCGCCTCCCCACCCCCACCCTTATTAAATACACATTTTATCTCTCAGCATCTTCATTATCTTAACCGAAGGAGACGAGCGGTGGATGGTGGCAGCGCCGAGGCAGGAGCGGGGGGTGGGGTGGGGCGGGGCGCACCCCGCGGGAAAGTGCTGATCCAGCTCTTTCGGGCAGTGTGGGAAACAGAGGCGGGATCAAAGCGCGCGGGGCTGAATCAGAATTCAATTAGGGCTTTTTCAAAAACGGAGCTGCCTCGGTCCTTTTGCCAAGCTTCACCCTTTCCCCAGGCCCCGTACACCCAATTAGCTCCTCCTGCAGGTGCCTTGGGGCTGGGGTTGGAAAGCGCAGGTGCCTGCCGTGAGTGAGCCCCGAACTGACTTCCACAGGAAATGGGCCGCTGGCCCCCAGGGTGAAGGGGCAGCAAACCAAAGGTGGGCTCCTCCCCAGCCGTGTGCCAGCCAGAGCCGGCGAGGTTGCAGGCCAGTTCTAGGAACACCAGCAACAAGCCAAAGCGAGGGGGTGATGGGGTGGCATCCATGACGCCTCTAAGGCCAGCACCCCTGCACCGCGAGGCTGCTCCCCATCAGCTCAGCGTGTGACAGCGATGGGGATTCCTCCACCGTCTGCCAGATGGGCAGGGCAGCAACCTCGGTCCCTTTATCTGTTCACTGCACAATCATCCAGAACTCACCAGGTACCATAACAGCTGGGGACAGATGCCAAGGTAAAGAAGCTTGGTGTGCAGGGAGGCCTGGGTTCGAGCCTCAGGATGCTGGGGGAGCCTCAGCCTGGGCTTTTTTCTCTCACAGTAGTTAGGGAACAGCTCGCGGTAGATTTTGGAAAATATGGCCTAAGTCATATCATATTTTCACTTCCTGCTTTTTCTTAAGCGGGGAGGGCACTGGAGACTGAAAACAGGACCTCCACACTGAGCTGCATCCCCAGTCCTTTTTAGGTTTTCTTTTGGTACCAGGGATCGATCTTGGGTCCTTGAGCTTGCGAGGCAGGCAGTGGAACCACTGAGCTAAATCCCCGGCCCCTTTCTAGTTTTCTTTCAGACAGGGTCTCACTAAGTTGCCCAGGCTGGGCTCAAACTTTCAAGTCCTCCTGCCTCAGCCTCCCACAATGACACTTCCTGTAATGGTCTGTCTTCCACAGCTCTGGTGTTGAAGCCAACACCGGCTTCACTGTTTGTGTTCTTTCCATGGCTGATACCCAACGCTCCATGGAAGCACAATCTACTTAAAAAAAAAAAAGAAGGGTAAGTCAGGATACAGCCCCCCGCTCAGAAGGAGGAATGGTCAGCACCTTTGCCACTACTCCATGGGCAGTGGCCCCAGACCCTGGCAAAAGCTCTGAACCACAGGCCCATCCTAGAACACTCCCACCTTGCTGGGCTTCAGCAGCAAGGACTTTCTTCCTCCTTCACTGACAAACGTCCATCAGCTTTTGCTCCCCAAAGGGCAGCAGGAGCCAGGCGGGGACCTCATCTGCTTCACGCATCATTGATGGAGCCAAGCCTGCTCTAGTTGCTGAAGTCTTAAGCGTAGCAATGACCTAGAAATTGATGGCGGGGGAAGTGCAGGAGAGGAAACCAACAAACCAGTACCCAGAAAGCCCTCTTTCCAATAGCAGGGGAACGAGACAGGAGGCGGAGGGGGAGAGATGTGGCCCCTTTGAATCTGCAAATGTGATCCTGGCCAGGGGCCAGGGAGGAGCTTGAGTCCAGCCCTGTCCCAACTGTGAGGAGGCCCCAGGCCTCCAGCACAGTGAGGTGGAGGCTGCCTGCTCCTTTTTGGGCAGGCTCCTACTGTGGACACGGAACAGACAGCAGCTGCCCACAGTGTGGAAACAAACTGTAAAGCAGTCACGTCTCTTAAGGCTGCAGCATCCAATAAAATGTAATTTAAATCAAGCCTGCATCTGTTCTCAATCCATGCCGTCTCTGCTCCCCATCAGCCTTCGGACAACCCTTGCTGGTGCTCTCGTTAACCCTTCAGGTCCCAGATGCTCTGACCCGGGAGGGGCTGGTGCTCCTTTCTGAGCTCCCCCTGCCCTCCTATCCACTCCACCTGCTGTGGCACAGATCGCTTTACACGAGTACAGCGGGCAGAGGGAGCTACCAGCAGCCCGCAGATCACCTGTCCACCGATCAAGTTCCCATGCAAGGCCCGGCCGCACCAGGCAGGTGGAGAGGGTGGAGCCTGGCTCTCCGGGCATCTGCATCTTGTGCGAAAGCTGAGTGAGATGGCTCGGGTGCCTCCCAAGCAAACCCAGCCCAGGGCCTTGCGTGCCCCTTCCCTCCACAGGACCCCAGCCCCAAGCCTGCACTTTCCAAACAGCGTCATCATGGTGCCCTCTGGTGTTCCTGCCACAAAGTGCCACGAATGCCACTGGAAACCAAAGCCCAGGAGGAGGAATCTGGAGTAACCACATGGATCAATTTATTTAATAAGACTGGAGAAATATGTGCTCAGAGGAACACCTGAGGCCGAGTGGAGCCACCCAGAAACTGGCTTCATCGGAGAGTGACTAGGGCTTCAAGGCAGTCTGCACGTTGCCTCCTGAAAGCCCACGCTCTAGTACAACACCATGGCTTAAAAAGACAAAGAACGCAATTTGAAAATAAATATATTCACAACATGTAGTTACGTTCTCCTTACCACCCCGCAATGTTAGGAGTACCCCCAAAATGCAATGAGTCCTTAGAATGTCACAGCGTGGTCACCGGTGAGTTACACAGCACACTCCAAAGAGAAAGAAATTCCTTGATCCAAGGGTCCTTCTGATGTCCACACGGATGAGCTTATTTTTCTGCATCACTGTGTTCTTCTTACCCTGACCTCAAAGTCCTTAAGAAAATATACCATGTCCGAGGGAATTTAGCGGTAAATATGTACACATTGCACAACAGAAATCTGTATGCTTGCAAAAATACTGGCTAGAGACACTCAAGTGGGGCGGGTAGTGAATATAATTTAAAAAGGATCTACTACATTTTTATGGGTAAAAATAATAAAGCCCAAAGATAATACTCTGCACTAATATTTGTGATTAAAATTAATTGGCTTCAAGTAAAACAGGCTGTATTTATTTTCAGACCCAAGAGTGTAAAGTGTTAAAACGAAGGCTCCATAGCTCTCGAAAGGCCCGCTGAGTATTTTCAGGTGGGAACAGAGAAGAATTTAAGGCAATCCAGTAGCTAAGATATTTCCAATGAAAGCCTTGTCTCTCAGAGCATGCTCTATTTCCTTCTCTTCAATCCTCAAAGACACCTGGAAAGAGAAGTGGATTTTTTTCATGGTGCACAACTCACAGAAAACAAAGTTGCTATTATACAGACACCTACCATATTCCTATCATACAGCCCCTCACACCTTAAACCCCTCCTAACAAAAACCAAACCGCTGCCGGGGATTTAGGTCAGTGGTGCCGCTGCCTGCCTTGCAGGCCCAAGGCCCCAAGTTTGATCCCCGGTACCAAAACAAAAAAGAAAAAAACCAAATTGCTTACCTAATTGGGCTCTTTAGTTTTTACTTTACTGACTGGCTGCAGTCCTGCGAGAATACCTACGGCTGTGGCGGAGAACCTTGTCGCACTTTCAATGATAGAAACAGTCCGCCGGAGCACATGTGTCGTAGGTTCACCGCCACTGACCGAGGAGTGCTAGGTAACCAGCCCCCTGTCTTATTTCAAATCCTAATTTCGAGACAGGGTCTTGCTAAGTTGCCCGGGCAGAATTCACATTTTTAATCCTTCTGCCTCAACCTCCTGGAGTGCTGGGATTCCAGGCCTGTGCCACCCTGCCGGGTTTAAGTGTGGTCATTTTTAAATCTGTAGTTTAGCAAAAGGTAAGTTCTCTTAAAAACACTGGCCTAAAGAAGCAGGGAGTCAGTCGTACCTTTGTGAAGCGGGCCTCCTTGTTTTTCTTTAACCCTACGATGCCCCTGGACTCCAAGAGCCCCGAGAGTGACAAGCACTCGGACTGGTCCACGGCTGCCACCTGCTGTTTGCGACAGACGCTGCTGTAGGCTTCATACAACTGGAAGGAAACAAGAACAAGCCTTGCTTAAAAGTCCCATCTCTCTCTCTCTCTCTCTCCCTCTCCTCTTTTTTTTTTGGTAGCAGGGATCAAACTCAAGTCCTTGCGTTTTCAGGGGAGGCGGTGGAACCACTGAGCTAAATCCCCGGCCCAAGTCACATCTCTGATTGCTTCACAATCTTTTTTGAAAAGCGAGTCTGGATCCTCTGTGATTCCTAGCCGCTGGGGCCCCGCAGGCCTTTCGGCAAAGATGCGCACTGCCAACGTCGCCGTACCTCCACCTCGGAGATCCGGACTCACCTTCCCCAGCGCGACCTCTCTGACCTTCAGCTGCCTGGTCAAAAGCAGCAAAGAGCAGACCAAGACCTTCTGCTGCAGAGGGAAGGGGTCCTGGGCCCCCTCTCTGCCCAGAGTCATCCTGTTCCCGTCCACTTCGGAGATCACTCGGGCGATGTGAGCAAGACCCACGCGCTTGGGGACTGAAGACTCCTCTGAGGGTGATTTACCTGGGAGGTGAGTAAGACAAACTCCCTTAGATTTTGATTTTATTTTAGTTTTTTGGTGCCAGGAATGGAACTCTAGGCCTCTTGATTGCCAGGCAGGCGCTGCACCACTGAGCTACATCCCTTGTCCTTAGATTTTTAAAATATTGTGTGTGTTGGGACAGATGATGCTGAGCACCAGCGGCAGGAGACCCAAGTGGGGTCAGATGCAGAGGGGCAGAGGGGCAGCCTGTAAGAAGCAGCCCAGGAAAACATGGCGCTGTGCTCAGGGAGAGGCCAAAATAATGTGGGATGAAGAGCTGTGTGTCGTGGTGCATGCCTGTGATCCCAGCACTTGGGAGGCTGAGGCAGGAGGATCCCCATGAGTTTGAGGCCAGCCTGGGCTAATAGGGAGACCCTGTCTCAAAAAAATGTGGGATGACTTGGAAAATGGGGCTGTTCTTTCCCTGAATAGTAAGCTATTTTGTCCTGTAATTTAATGTTGGAAGAACAAAATCCACCTTGTGAAATAAAAAAGCCCAGGGGCCAGGGATTGTAGCTCAGTGGCATTGCACCTGCCTGGCAAGTGCAAGGTCCTGAGTTCAATCCCTGGTACCAAAAGATAAAATAAAATAAAATAAAAATTAAAAAGCCCAGACAAGAGAACTACAGTTTGCAGCCTTGCAAGTTCCTAATGTCTCAGAGGTGAAGACTAACAGACCCTGGAAGCCGGGTTCTGACCGAGCCCTGGGAGAAAGGGGAGCACAGGTGGAAAGTGATCCAGGGTCTGCATGGAGGAGTGCAGAATGAGTGCGCCTTCCCTGCCCAGAGGGCACCCATGTGACCTCAGAGGTTTGCTTCACTTGCCCAAGTTGAGCTGGGACAACACTGGAGAAAATGTCACTGACTAGGCACTGATTAGCACCCGCTCCAGAGCCGGAGCTGGGAGCTTGCCAGGAAGCTCCAGGGCACCATGGCCCCACTGCCTGGGACACATGACCCACAGGGCAGAGCAGGGTTAGCTGCCCCAGCAACCCGCACCCCAAGTCACTTCCTGTCGGACCACAACACCTTGCTCTGTTCCACTGCCATGAAGATACTCAGAGGACAAATGGGGAAACAGAGCTCCGAGATCAAGAGACAGAATCTTAACACCAAAAGGAATTTAAAGATCTATGCTCACCCCCTACCGAATGGCCGGGTCTCCTGTCCAACAAGCAAATGAGTGGGAGCGGTCTCTATGCAGCTTTCGTGTTATCTTCAGTGGTGGGACTCAGCCTGAGTCCTCCGCATTAGAAAGCTCCCTCCTCTGTGGAGGTGAACTCAAGGTCCCCACAGCTCTCCAGAGCCTTTAAAAGGACTTCTTTTAGCAACGTGTTTGTCAGAGGGCAGGCACGAGCTCAATGTCACACCCAGGGGACGAGCAGAGAAAGTAACCCAGAGGTGAAGAGGAAGCAGAAACCAGGTCTACACCTCTGCATCAGCATATGCTGCCTACCCTCACCCCAAAGACAGAACTGATGAAGCCAGACTGCTCCGCATTTCTAAAGATTAATACTGGATATTAAACACTGATGAGATATGGCGCTCATGGCCATTTCACATCTGCCACAGATAAGAGAGCAGCCTGGAGGGAAAGGAGAATTAATTTTGCTACTTAGGACAGCCCTCAGTTTACTGTAGCACATGCTTTCTGGCCCTCCGCCCTTCCAGGCTTGTTGGAAGGCTTAAGACTTCCCAATATCAACTCAAAAAATTCTTTCCCTTGTCTCTTATTTATCAGATGTGCTTTCACCATCTGATAAAAGTGCATTCAACAGAAACACCTAGCAAGGCTGATCCAACCAAGCTCTAGTTTTCATTCCAGCTTGGAAAGAACTTTATCCTTGTCTTTTATCTAAGGGGGACTAGTCCTAATCATGCATGGATCATGGTATGGGGAGGGAAGATTAAAATAAGATTTGAGTACGGATTTGACTAGGTTCACTTAGTCTTTCTATCACCTCCCTCAGAAAAGTGAAACTTCCAACCATGAAGACAGGGCTGATGTAGTCCCAGCACTGGGGAGGCTGAGGCAGGAGGATCACTGGGAGGTCAAGGCCAGCACGAACTACACAGTGAGACCTTGTCTCAAACAAAAAGAAGACAGGAAGGAGATAAATACTTACATTCAGACAGTGGTTTGAGAATAGTCTGGCTTTTGACATCCGACTCTACAATTTCAATTGCTCTCCTATAAAAAAGTTTAAAATTAATTTAGTCTGAGCCAAACCAAACCCCACATCAAACCACCAAGCTCAAAAGCAGGCATGTTTACTTAAAAACAGCATGTTTTAAAAATGTAAAGCCTCCAAAGAGAACTGGGTTATGTCTCAGCTAAAGGGGACTTAATTGCCTTGAAATAATTCATGGGCCAGGGATTTGAGAAACTTCAACACTCCATGGTTTCCACTCAGAGCCAAGTAGGTCACTCCATGAGTCAGTAGCGACAGGATGGGACAAACGGCAGGGAAGGAGGGTCCATGGTGCGGGTCGCTGGTGGAGGAGAACTGGCAGCTCTGTGGCCCTGCTCGGGGCTGTCTTTGTTGAGCAGGGGAAACTTCCAAAGCCAGGTTCTCGCAAGCTAGCAACAGGGAGAGCGCCCTCTCCCACCGCTCTCTCCAAGGGCTCTGCCTGCAGGAAGCCAGAAGGGGAGGGGGAGCGGCCTGCCCCATCTTAATGGAGCCCGGGTCTCTACTGGGAGGAAGGAGGAATTCCATCACTGGGCTCGGGAGGGAGAAAGGGGTCGGGGGAGACTGCGGCACCCACCAAAGGAAAGGAAGAGGAGGAGAGTTCAGGTCCATAAATAAACCTGCTTGAGACCAGCTAATGGAGAAGCGAAGCAGAGTCTTTAATACAAATGTAATTAACCAATCTAGAAGCACCACGGGGAGCGCCCGCAACATCTCATTTGTTTCTCCCCCTGTAGGTAATGGACTGGTAATGTCTCAGACATTAGCGCCGTGGAAAGCCAGGGCTCCCCGCCGAGGAACAAGTCCTCTTTTCTGAGCCCCCAAACTAGCAGGATGGAGCCTCCTCCAAAGCCGCTCGCTTGAGTTAGGAGAGACAGCGGCATTTCTTTCCTTCTCTTCTCGTCCCTAATGAGGCAGCCAAGGGTGCTGGAACTCGCCTGCAAAGGTCGAGCGCCTTCCGCACGTCCCCGGAAACGGCGGAGACCTTGCGCGCGCAGAACTGAAGGGCAGCGGGATCGAGGACTCGGTCTCCGGACACCTGCGGGCCAGACGGAATTCAGGCTCCACGCATAAATAGCCCCACCCTGACGCCGCCCAGGCCTGACTGAGCAACCACTGGGACCTGAGAGCCTTTCTGCGCAGAACAGACGGGGTGGGGATGGCCAGCTATTTATTTATTGTTTTGTGAAATGTAAGGTTTATTTAAGGAACACTACTATTAAATGAGCAAGTTTGAAAAATATTTTTTTCCCTGGTACCAAGAACGGAACCCATGGACTGGGGATTTAGCTCAGTGGGGCCACCGCCTGCCTTGCAAGTGCAAGGTCCTGAGCTCAATCCCCGGCACCAAAAAACAAAACAAAACAAAAAATAGAATGGAACCCAGACGTGTGCGTGCTAGGCCAGGATTCTACTACTGAGCTACATCCCTATTCCTTCTTTATTCTGAGACGGAGTTGGCCTGCGCAATTTAGCATGAGCTTGCCTCAAAGTAAAATATACTAAAATAGGGCCGAGGATGTGGCTCAGCGCTCCCCAGGTACTGGAGTCCAACCCCCAGCACTAGAAAAAAAAAATCTATTCAGTTACATTGAAAACAAAATTTCTTCCTAGGCCCTATAGTTTATAGGCCGTTAAGAAAACATGAGGGCTGGGGATTTAGCTCAGTGGTTCTGACGCCTGCTTCGCAAGCATAAGGTCTCCGGTTTGATCCCCAGTAGCAAAAAAAAAACGAAACAACAAAACTGGGCCAGGGATTTAGCTCAGTGGCTCTGGCACCTGCCTCGAAAGCACAAAGACACAAGTTTGATCCCCAGTACCAAAAAAAAAAACCAACATGAATACTTCTTCTATCTCCTTTTCTTTCCCCCCCGACTTTTTTCTTCTTGAGACAGGCTCTCACTATGTAGCCCAGGCTGGCCTCAAATTCAGTGATCCTCCTGCCTCAGTCTCCCAAGTGGTGGGATTAGGTAGGAACTTTTACCAGGATTACAGGCTCATGCCTCCACAGCCAGCCTGCCTACCTTCAGTTCCACATTGAGGCATCCAATAAATGGGCCATGTGTGCAAATTAACCCAAAAGTGCTCTCACTACGATTTTTTCGTTAGCAAAGCAATCAAAACAAAATATTCCTGGGCTGGGGATTTAGCTCAGTGGTTTCACTGCCTGCCTCGAAAGCGCAAGGACCCGAGTTTGATCCCCAGTACAAAAAAACCAACAACAAAAAACCCCAAAATATTCCCGAACTTTTGTTGGGTGTCCTTAACAAGAGAGACCCAGGGAGCGGAGGGGCTGGCACTCACCTGATGAAGCCGATCCTGTAGGATGGCGGCTATCTGACTGCGGGTATACGGCGGGAAGTTCAGCAGCTGTGGCTTACAGTGCTGTCTTGCCTCAAGCCGAGGCAGAATTCTGTCTGTGAGATCCAGGGTATTGGCAATACCTGAGGAAGGGATAAATAACACAGCCCAGCATCAGGCAAATTGCCGTAGGAGAAAAAAGCAAACTCTCGCAAAGAGAATCAAACTTCCAGATAGAACCTGGGGTTCTAATTCTTTCCCTCCACCCCACTCCAATAGAGGAGATGTGCATAGCCACCACAGAATGCTCGTTTGCTTTAGAGTTGTTTACCTGTTCCAAAAAACCTACTGTTGCTATAGCATTTTATACATACATATACACTTAATATACAGTGGACCCTTGGCCAACTCAAGTTGGTCAATTTGAAGGCTCGGGCTCCTCTACACAGCCTTCAAAGCCTCTCCCCTGCACAGGCAGATCTCAGAGTCCTTAGAGAGACCCTGGCCCAGGATTTCTCCGTTAACCCCACATAGGAAAGGACGTTGTCATGTTCCTTCCAGGACTCTTTAAGGGTCAAATCTGTATGTGAGATCATCTGGAAGCACAAGTGGCCGGCATTCAGGTCATAATTCAAGACTCTGTTTGTAAGTTAAAACTAAAATCCCAGAAGTAACTCAAGCTGTTTGTATGTCAGGCCGGTCATAACTCGAGGGTCCAGTGTACCGTGTATGTATATTTCTGCTGGGTGAGGTGGTGCACACCTGCAATCCCAGCACTGGGGAGGCTGAGGCAGGAGGATCACTGTTTGAGGCCAGCCAGAGCTACACAGTGAGACTGTCTCAAAAAACAAACAAAAAATCACATATACACACATATTTTGGGGGGGGTCAGGGTGGCCCTGGGCTTCCTCACATGCACTACCACAGTCACAGCCCTAGTTTCTATGTCATTTGCTTGTTTTGTTTAATTTTTTTTTTTTTTTTGCAGTGGTGGGGATTGAACCCAGGGCCTTGTACACGCTAGGCAAGTGCTCTACCCCTGAGCTGCATCCCAAACCCTTGTAAAAGTCAGGGTCTCATTACATTGCCCAGGCTGGCTTCGAAATAGTGATCCTCCTGCCTCAGCTTCCCCAGTAGCCGAGACTACAGGCACACAACACTGCAGCCAGCTCCTGTGTCATTTTTACTCAGATTACTGTCATTTGATATACTAATTTGACAAGAAGACAGAAAGCGAGTTTAAGAAAACAGTAGGTGATAAATAAACTGAAGATCAAAACCAAAAACTTCAGAAGCACCACACAACGTTAGCAAGTGAGCACTAACCAATCAGCACCAATCGGGAACCGCTGAGCCATGGCCACTCGAACAGTGTGTACAGCACATCCTGTCCTTTGCTGTCCAGCTGGTCCAGCTCGTCGAGCACCAACACGCTGCAAGAAAAGAGACAGGACTAGGCTGCAGGCACCTTCAGAGCCCTAAGGAGACCTGAGTGAAGAGCACTTCTGGTCCTGTCTCTAGTCCCTGGTAGAACTGCAGCCCCCACTGCAAACAAGCACAATCCAGGGCTTTTCAAGCAACTGGCTTATTTTATTTTTTGGAGTCAGGGTCTCAGTATGTAGTCTAGTCTGGCATTGAACTCACTATGTACCCGAGGCTGGCCTAGAACTCATGGCAATCCTCCCGGCTCAGCCTCCCTTGCTTGCATGCAATTACTTTATTTTATTTGTATTCTTTTTGGTACCAGGAATCAAACTTAGGGCCTCAAGCTTGACAGGCAGGTGCTGCACTGCTGAGCTACATCCCCATCCCCAGCTGCAAGCAATTACTTTAAAGACATTTATTTTTTCTCTTTGGTACCGGGGATCAAATTCAGGACCTTGCACTTTCGAGGCTGGTGCCGGAGCCACTGAGCTAAATCCCCGGCCCCTTAAAGACATTTTTTTTTTTCAAATTTAAAAGTGTATCTTTCTTTCCTTCAAGTGCACGTAAGCACCTCTCAGAGCGGACATAGGGTGTGTTCTTTCTGTGGGCCACAGGCCCTGCAGCCTCACAGCAAGTAACACTTACATCATGGGGCCTTTCTCTGCGGTCATCTGCTTTTCCAGTTTCTGCATCATGTCCTTCCCAGTCAGCCGGGACGCTTCTCCCTGACAAATCTCCTGGGCGATAGCTGGGAAGACAGCCTGGGCGCTCCTCAAGGACATGCAATTCAGCATGATGGTTTTAAAGCCTTTTACTTCTTTCTAGAAAAAAAATGCAAACATGGGTGTTACTTTGGGCTCAGCGAAGACCTGAGGAGACCTGAACTGTTCTGGAGAGCTGGCAGCACCAGAGAGAGGAAGCTCTACTTTCATTCGGAAAGATTGAGACGATGGACAACTCCAATGCCGAGGAAACTTTCAGTTCCTTAACACTTGCTCCTTCCACTCTCAGCATACCTTGAGGTTCTGCAGAATTCGGCTTAAGCAGGCAGTTTTTCCAGTTCCGGGAGCGCCAGAAAGGTACAGGCTTCCAGCTTTCCGCCCACAGATGTGCTCCCTCAGGAAGCTCCTGATGACATCCATCTCCGCTTCCCTGCCAGGCAGCCGGTCCGGGACAGCTGTGTTCAGGATGAGCTTCGCTTGCTGGTAGCAAGTACCTGCGTCAGCCAGAAAAGAACACTCAGGCCCAGCAGATGGCGACCAGAAGACGGCCCAGGCTTCACTGGGAGCCTCGGCTCGGTGTCCCGTGGCTGCACGCACAGCTGCCCTACCTTCTTGCTTGAACAGCCTCAGACAGGTGGGCTCTTTCTCTGGTGGACACTTCTGCTCACAACTGCCTGGACTCTCTTGACTTTTCCGGACTGAGGAGAGGACCCTGTTCTGGTGAACTCTGGCTTGTTCACTTTTGCTGGGCGACTTCACTGGGAGTTGATCGTCAAATACCAATCTGCGTCCTTTCGGGGTCCGTGATCGAGGGGGACCGTTCTCCTTCCTGCCTTGCTTTGGTGGGGAACAGGGAGCGAGGTGGGGGGTGTTGCAAAGGTTGTCCTCGCCTGAAACATTAAAAGTGGAAACGTGCTCATTCTCTGCTTCCGGGGAAGGAGGCAAATTCTCATCTCTCTGTGCAAATATGGCCACCAGAAGGCGCCACTGAGTTTTGCTACAGATGGGTTCTCCTGGGATGAAATACCAAAACTGTTCTAAAACAGCGTTTCTCAACTCATACATTAACACCTTGGACTAAATGATGTTTTGTTGGGGGGTAGGGGAACCTGTCACATGCATTGTGTGATGCTTACCAGCCCCACTGGTGTTTACCGGTTATGCCAGTAGCAAACCTTCAGCTGTGATAAGCAAAAATGTCTCCAGTGATGTACAATCCACACTTCCCACTAAGAACATGCTCAAGGGCTGAGGATTTAGCTCAGTGGTTTCGCCACCTGCTGCGCAAGTGCGAGGGCCTGAGTTCGATCCCCGGTACCAAAACAAAAACAAAATGCTCAAACCAGGCATAGTGGTGCACAACTCTCCTCCCAGCACTAAAGAGGCTGAGGCAGGAGGATCACTGCAAGTTTAAAGGCAGCCTGGGCTACACTGTGTTTAAGGACAGCCTGAAACACACAGCTCTACACTGTCTCAAACAAACAAACAAACAAAACCAAACCCTCAGCTGCGTGCAGTAGAACAAGTCTGTCATCCCAGCTGCTCAGAAGGCCGAGGCAGGAGGATCACAAGTTCAAGACCAGCCTGGGCAACTTAGGAAGACCCTGCCTCAATATAAAAGGGCTGGGGATGCAGCTCAGTGATAGAGCATTTGCCTGGCCTGAGTTCAATCCTCAGCACATAAAGGAGAAACTAATGGGGGGGGGCACAGTACGTTATGTGCACTTATCAGTCTGCCAAAATGAAACTCATCAATCTACACAACCAACGTGCATTTATAAAAAAGATAAAGTGGAACACATGGTCTTGCGCTGTGCCAGATGCAGCTCAGGAGTAGAGTGCTTGCCTAGCATGCTCAAGGCCTAGCCTCAATCCCTAGCACTGGAAAGAAAAAAGAAATGACCACTATACTAAAACAAGAAAAGGATTGAGAATAGTCAGAAGGCCACCCATTTCTCTTCATTTCACAAATATGGAGGCAAATTTCATATCACATAACTGAGGACCAGAACTATTAAATAGTTCAGAAAATGATCTCACTAAGTAAGTGGCTGAACTCTGAAGTTCAGTAAGCTTCAGCAACCATTCTGAAAAGAAATAAAGCAAATACAGCAGTCTTAACTGAACTTAAGTCTCTCGAAGGACTGGCATTTTATTGAAAAGAGAAAGGTGAAAAAAGAATTGTACTTCTACAGTGGAAAGCTTACCCAGGCGCTTTCTGGGGCTGAGCGGCAGAATTTCTGCCGAACAGGGTGTGGCTTGGACATCTGTCAGCACCAGTTTACTGTTCTTAGAGTTCTGAGTCTTGTCCAATGTCCGAGATAACTTCTTTTTTGGAAAACGGATGGTCATCTGTGCCTGGGATCGGGTTTGAGGCATGATGCAGGCAAGGCAGCTGGATACACAAAACAGCAACCTGTAAGTGAAGGGCAAAGAACCAACAGGGGACTTATATGACTGACACTCAGTCAAAAGTAAATTATGGGGCCGGGGATTTAGCTCAGTGGTTCTGCCTCCTGCTTTGCAAGCCCAAGGTCCCGAGTTTGATCCCCAGTACCAAGAAAAAAAAAAAAAGTAAATTATGTTATTTTAGCATTCAGTTCTCTTTCACACCCAAATCTATGCAATAAGAACCGGCGCCTGTTGTTTTTCCAGCTATGATGAGCACTTCATGTATTCACCCTCTGAAGTTTTGCGCGGCCCTACCTAGAGGCAGGCACTACTGTATTTTTATTCCCGCCTTGAGATGCTCAGAGAAGCAGGGCTACAGCTCCAGGCTTTCTGCCCGGGGACCCAAGTTCCTAACCACCTGAGGGCGAGGAAAGTTCATCTTTTTATTTTTATTTTTATTTTTTTTTGGTACCGGGGATCGAACTCGGGTCCTTGCGCTTGCGCAGCAGGCGGCCAAACCACGGAGCTAAATCCCAGGCCCAAGTTCTTTTTTTTTTTTTTTTTTTTTTTAAGTTCATTTTAAGTAACTTGTGTGTCCGTGTGTGTGGCAATACTGAGGACTGCGTCCTGGGCCTGTGCCCCGAGCTACATCCGCAGCCCTTTTTACATTTCTTATTTGGACAGGGCCTCCCAAGTCTCCCAGGCTGGGCTGGAACTTCCCATCCTCCCGCCTCAGCCTCGCGAGTGCTGCGATGACAGGCATTCGGCACCGCTTCCAAGCCCCTCACCCGAGCCCGCGGATCTGGTGAGCCCACGACCACCACCTCCGCGCAGTCCCTCCAAGCCCGACCCGGCCGGATCTCGGCTTCCTTTCGCTCGCTCCCGGCACCAGACCTGTCTCCTCGTGGGTTTTCCGCTCCTCTCCGCTGCTCGGGCGGCGTCGGGTAAGGCAGGCTCCCTCGTGTGTGGTGCGCGGCCTTAGCACTGTCAGACTCCACACCGGCAGCACCCAGCTCGGCTCGCGCCAAATCTGCACAGCCTTTGCGTTCCCGTCTCGCGCCAAAACCCAGCCCGGCTTCCGATTGGCCGCTGCGCCCGCGCCGAGCGCCCCGAGGCCCTCCCCTTCTTCCGCGACCAATCCCGCTGGAAGACCTACAGCCAATAAGAAGGCCGTGATTCTCAGAGCCACCGTGAGGACACGCCCACCAGGCCAGCGGGCGAGGGCACCTACATCCGGGGCTTCCTCGTAAGGCGCGCGGAGACAGCTGACGCGACGGAATACGCCTCGCCCCACTGCAAATCCTGACGGGAGATGTAGTCTATGCTCCATGAGACTCTCCTGTGTTCCTGCGCCCAAGTCACGATGTCCTTGTCCCTTCTCTGCCACACGTACCCAGTTTCATTATCCTGATGGGCTGCATTTCCATGGAGCTAGTACGTAATACCGACCACACTGGTAAACTCTGTAGGCCAGGAGCGATGCTGTGCGCCTTGCTCACTTCTATTGCGCAACTCTCGTAAGGCAAGGTTTTGAGGGAGTGCAGTGCTCGCGGGGTTAGAGGTCACGGCATCTTGGCGTAGTGGTGGCGGCGGCAGCTGTACTAGGATCATTCGCTCCTGACACCGCGATGAAATTCTGTAGCTATATAAAGAATCAGGCCAACCGTGGTGGCACACACCTGTAAACCTAGCTACTTGGGAGGCTGAGGCAGGAGGATTTCAAGTTCCAGGCCAGCTTGGCAATTTAGTAAAACCTTGTCTCAAATAAAAAGGGCTCGGGATGTAATTTAGCGCTCCTTGGCTTCCTGGGTTCAATCTTAGGTTATGCAAAAAACTACACTTCATGGCAGTATCTTTTGTGCTCAAGAAGTGGTAAGGACCAACTCTTTTTTTTTTTTTTTGGTACCGGGGATCGAACTCGCTTCCTCGCGCAGCAGGCGGCGAAAACACTGAGCTAAATCCCCGACCCTCTATTTTTTTTTTTTTTTTTTAGTGTGAGAATGTTATCTTCCATGCACCTTTCCACTTAACATTAATCCACGCTTTGTGGACACTGGAAAGAATTATGGTTCTTTAATTTTAAAATATTTTATGGCCAAACACTATGGTTTCAAGGCAGGGAAGACAGTTCTAGAAGAGGCAAGCTGAGCTTTTAATGAAAAGTATAAATTAGAGCAGTAGTTTGCAGGGCAGTTTCCAAAGCTAATGACCCGTCAGGTCCCTTTAAATGCTGGCGCCCAACTCTAGGTGGTGGCAAATATTTATCTTTTATCCTTAAATGGCAAATAAAATAGAACCATAAAGCTGAGAAACAGGAAAGCAAGGTCATTACACTCCTCGGTTAGTTGTAGTTTATGCAGGAGATTAGAGCGCACACAGCACGCAGTGTAGGTGAGGCTGAGCTCAGTATTTTACTTGTAATCCCTGTATTACTCCTCACCGGGACCCCACAAAGTCCGTATTTATATCCGTTTTACAAATGGGGAAAGAACCAGAGTATCGGGGTGAGTAATCTTTCCAAAGTGACACAGTTAGTAACTGGAAAAGCTAGAGTTTGACGGGAAATCAAACGCTTGACCCTTTAATCATAGGATTAAGTGAATGTTCGAGGCATGATCAAAATGATGATGGATGTTTAAATTTAAAAATTTATCCTAGGAAGACATATTACCATTAATTCCCTCAAGTGTGTTTGACCATTCTGAGCGGGGTTGTTAACGTCCAGACGCCGCCGCCGACGCCGCTCAACATCCTCCCTCTCCCCTCCCGGCCACCCGGCCACTGTAAACCCTGCAGTTTGCCCTGGAGGCTGCTGGAGGCGTCTGCTAGCCACGGATTCTGGAGGCCAGGAGTTGGGTGTCCTGAGCGCCGGCGTCTGCACCCAAGGGTGCGCAGCAGTTGCTCGCTGAGCTGGGGCTGGCACGCTGGCGTCCTTGGCCGGGCGCTTCCTCTGGTCGGGAGCAGCGCACCCCAAATCTGGGCGTGGTGGATGAACTTGACTGTGGTTTCTGGTGATCTCAGAGGGGAGGCCCTTCCTCAGTCATCCTCCGGGTGGCCAGGATCCCGAGGGTGGCATTTTTGTCTTCTTGCTCTGCTGCAGAGTACTAGGATGCCAGATGGGCGGCTCCCTTCCAGCTATCCTGGATCGGGAAATACCTGAGGCCCATTCCCAGGAGCAGCTGCGCCTCAGTGGTAATTAGTGAGCAACTGAGAGTCCTTAGGAATGAGGCTACACCGGAACGACCTGCCTGGCATTCTGAGTGCGCACGCGCGGAAACCGGCAAAGCCCTCCGAGCAGAGCGCTGTCAGGAAGCTAAGGGTGATGCAGGCCAGTTTCATTCGCAGGCTAATTAAAATCAGAGCAATTAAATCAACAGGCAGTGTATTAATCATATTAATAATGATGATTGGTCAAAAAACCCATAAGTCGGGATAAAAATGGAGTCCTTTACTCCTCTTTCCCTCCCCTTCCTAGATTTTTAATCTAAAGTATGAGAGTGATTCAGACGCACACCTGTGAGGAATCAGCGTAGGACGGAATTTCAAGACCTTTGCTAGCGAAGAAAGTGCAAGTTAAGCTCATTACACCTAGATGGTAGTTCCGCCAGCTGACCACAGGAAGCAAAGAATGCCTGCTTGAAATTTCTACACCTGCAGTCGAAGTTCAAGAAAGCCAGCTTTGATTACAGCTTCAAAAGCAGCGAGAAAACAGCCAACACCCAGATGGAGCCCCACAGGCCTGGATGCTCTGCGCCCCCTTCTTCACTCGTTGAGAATCAGCTGTGTGGCGCAGGTAGAAAGAACCCTCAGGAACGCGAGGAGAGGGCACAGGGCCGAGGCGGTTAGAGCCACTGGTGGCTCAGAACAGGCACAGCGTAGCTCGGGGTCAGCGTGTCTGCTGCTGGGGCAGAGGATGAAGCCACCAGCTGCCCGAACAGGACGCTACAGGATTCGTCCCCTCCCTATGCCACCACCGAGATCACTTTCCAAAGAGCACACAGTTTGCAGCTTTGTGTGTGTGGTTCTTTTTTTTTTTTTTTTTGCAAGGTTTAATTAAACTGCATGGCATCCAAAAGAAAGAAATGTACCAAAGGATCCAACCTGAGACCCAATTACACATTTTAGGGGTGGAAAAAAAATCAGTGCTGTTTAGGAGACGGAGCACTGTAATCAGAATGAACTCCAAGATAAATCATACAATAAATTATTTTTTAAAAAGAAACTGATCCACATGCAGACAGACACACACACACACACCTGCTCTCATCTTCTATTCAGTGTTGACTATGAATTCCACGCTGCTCACTGCAGAAAAGGTCAGATTAGTCTTGAGAAGGCCAGGACCCTCTGCCACCACCGTAACTAGGTGAAGACAGGGAGAAGCAGCCCAGCGAGTGTCAGAAACAAGACTAGAAAGGAGGAAACTGCACTTCTCAAGGAGGATTTTAATTACTTCCAAGACGCAGAGGAGAAAAGCACAGAAATCTAACACAAGTAAAGGCACAATGAACGTGGAGTTAAATGGAACCAAACCCTCCCTTCAGTTACACAGTTCTCATTTTTTTCTTTTTTGCATGTGGTTTTGAAGGTGATTACAATGTTGTTATTTTAAGAGATGAACCTTGAAGGCAGAGTCGTGAGGCCCTCTCATCTCCCATTCCCTAACTTTGGGTGGCTCAACAGCCCTAACTTTGGCTGGAGAGCCAGGGGCCGAGGCGACAGGGGAAGACAGAGGACAGCGGCATGTGCAGAATCCGGCTGCAGCTGGTGTGGGGTGGGCTCTGGAAGGCCCTGCTCACCCCGAGTGCCACAGAGGGGAAGGGCCCCGAGTCATGCTTCTCCCCACCCCCAGAAGCACTCAGCCTAGATTATTTCAAGTTATCAGGAGAATGAAAACACACCCTAACCCTGAGTTGCTCTGTAGCAAGTCTTATGTACAACTTTTTCCTCACCTCTCTCGGGAGGTAAACGTGGGATCCAAGCTGGGAAGCTGGGGGTGGGGGGGGGCAGTGTGACAGCCAGGGCTGGGACAGCTCCAGACTCTGTTGCTCCAGCTGTGGGAAGCGTGGGCTCAAGGCTGGAGCAGATCCCCAAGAGAGAGAAGCCACACCTGGATTGAGAGTGCTTTGGTCCGGGTTCAGAAACTGGAGTAGAGAAGAGGGGCACCTAGCACGTTTAAACAGAAGCGACTAACAAGTTTCCCAGCTAGGAAAAACATCATGAGCCAAATCGACACGAAGGCCACGCACACAGCTTCTCCACGCTAAGCTGGGTGACATCACTTCCCTCTGGGAGGGCACAAGGGAGGTTAGAGGGCCGGGTGCAGCCTCAACATGAGGCCACCCAACTTTCCCAGGGAGGACGTTCCCACCAACAGGGCCCAGGGGCAGTTTGGGAGGTGAGAAGTTCAGTGCCCACTTTGAACCTATAGTCCAAGCTCTGTACAACATACAAAATAGACCGGTAACTATGCGGGTCACATTCCCGTCTTCAATAGCAAATATACATAATAAATTTGTTATTAACAGCGGAACCACACAGCGTGTAAGGCAAAGCTAGCTCAACGGCACTGCGTCACCGGCCTGTTTGGAAGGAGACCCACCCCATCAGACCAGAGCCGGGCCTCTGTCTCCAGGCCAGCAGTGGAGATACAGTCCATGCCTACGTGACGCAGTCTGAACGCTGGGGAACAGGAGGGCCAGCAGGTCACGAGGAGGAAGGTAGCAGCCCCAATGAAAAGCTGGGGTTTGGCTTTATTTGCGATACTTACTTGGATGCTCTATGTCTGAGTAAAGGGAAAAAAGACACACTTTGAGAACATTGTACAAAAGGCATCGACTCCCATTTCAAAAATAAATGGGAAGACTTCACAGTCAAAGTTCAGTCACTTGTCAGTGTCTGCCCTGGGACTTGCTGCAGTGGCAGCTTCTGTGCCCTCCCTGCCTCGGGGTGCTGGGGGAACTTCCGGGAGGTGGCTGCTAATAGATGAGAAAACAACAGCGCTAAACAAAGAATGGTCAAAACCAGTCCGGGGACAGATCTAACCATGGTCTGTGCCCCGTCAGCGTGGTCCAGAGGATGGCAAGGGACAGCAGGCTCCGGACACACAACCCAGAGCCCTCCGTGGCCTGGCGCCGTGCACAGCTGGCCTGGACCCTTGGCCTATGGCCCAGCGGAAGCAACAAGGACAGCTTGGTCTCCCTGCTCTGCTGCCAAACTCTAGGCAGCCTCTGCAAGCTGACCCATGGGTATGTGGAGCCAGGAGCCCATGCTGCTACTGCAGGAGGGGAAGCCGCTGCCCCACCCTCCCGCCTCAGCTGGAGCCTCCGCTCTCCATGCCCTGGCCAGGGCCTGGAAGACACAATCACACTGCTGGCTGCCAGGCAGACCCCTGGACCAGGGACACGTCTTGAAGTCTGTGCTTCCTGCATAGAGAACCCTGAAGCCCCAAGGGTCTACTCCCTCCTTCACCCGCCCCATACTGCTGGGCTGCCCTGCAGCCCTGGAAAGGCGAGGGTGGTGCAGCAGGGAGCCAGAAGAGCCTGCCGGGCAGACAGCTGAGTTCCAGCAGAGGCAGCCCCAAGGTCCTCTGTGGCCTGCAGCACTTCCGGGGGCAGCAGGGCCAGTCAGAAAACACCAGGGCAGAGGCGGGGCCCCAGACCCCACCTTCCTATCTCCCACCAGAGGTTTTTGGGGCTTGTGACAGGAGTGACTCATGTCCCCTAGAAGGGCTTGGGGTGGGGGAGAACACCCTTCGGGCTAGCACCCTGAGGACAGGAGGCAGGGAGTCCCAGGGCTCGGATGGTGCTGTCCCTTAGCAGCAGAACTGACTGGCTCTAAGTGGTCCTCAGTTTACTTCACCCTCTCTGCAGATTAACTGTTTAGTCAGCTGATTAGTACTTAGTGTTCGTAGCTACCTTAACCCTGGGTCGGGGGAGGTGAGAACAGAACAAAATACCCCTGGAAATAAAGCAGAGCCACTTCCTCTCCTTTTCCAAACCTGACCTTTAAAACAGATCACTACTCTTTGAACTCCTCCCTTGCTTTACGGCAAATGCTTCCTCACCACAGAAGTCCTGACTGTGGAGCCTCTTGACAGCAGGTGACAGCAGATGGCTCCACCCTGCCTGCCTGTCCACAAGGCACCCTCCCCAGGAAAGCAGAGGTGGGGCTCTCTCCTCTTCTGCTCAGCAGGGCTGGCCAGGACAGAGGAAGGCGGGTGTGAACCCGATGCTGATGGGAGCCATCACAAGTCCGGGACAGATGCAGAGATGGAGGCGAGCCTGAGGATGCTGGAGTCGAGCGGGAGTGCTCATGCAGGTTTCAGGGTGGGGGCCGTCTGAGAAGAGCGGGTCTGTCCTTTCCTGAGGAACGGGACCAGCCAGGCTTCACCTGAGAACGGGTGGCAAGGGAGGGGCTCCACGGGCAGCTGGAAAAAACACACATGCATGTGTCACGGCAACACGGAAAAACCTGAACATGCCTGAGACAGGAGACAGGATCTTCACCTTTATGAAACCTTGGGACTAGCGTTTGTGCTTTTTAAATTTTTATTTATTTTTTTGGTACCGGGGATGGAACTCAGGACCTTGCGCTTTCGAGGCAGGCGCCAGAACCACTGAGCTAAATCCCGGGCCCAGTGTTTCTTTTAATGAAAATGAAAATGAAAATGAGTAGAATGTGAACTAAGAAAACATTAAAACTCTACGTTACATGCAGTTATGGGAAATGCTTCTTTACTTCTGCCTCACCTCGGTGTGTTTTGCTGGGATATATTCTCTGAAAATGCTTATATTCTTCTGGAGCTGGAAAATCTTCTACAGGATGGAAGGAATACTTGGACTCAAAGTCATCTGTGAAATGAGCAGACCATTAGGTCCCGCCCCCCTCGTGCCTCCCCAAGCTAAGCTGTGGCACATTCAGATGCACCACATCCCCCGACTGCTCAGCCACGGTCTCCAGGCACAGCAGCGCCTCAGGTGCCACCCTGCACAGGGGACCTGCTCGAAGGCCGGTTATCCCAGGGAGTCTGAGCTGCGGCTCTCCCACTTTCCACCAGAAATCAGGTGTGTAACCAGGAAGAGGGCATCTGTCTGCACAGAAGCAGAAAGCAGAGAAATGCAGTTCTGGCCCAAGAACACGGCCATCTGAGAGACCATCATTAAGGGGAGTCAACCGAACAGCACCTACAAACTGGTGATTAATCTTGAATGGGAATATTTGTCTCTAGCTGTGACAGATGCAAGAGGACAGTACAACCTAACCTTTCACCCTGGGCTGCTTCCATCTATTTCTGTACCACACCTGGGTGACCTTTCCAACCTTGCTCCCTCCCTGTGGCTCCTGCTCAAGTTCCTACAGGCGTGGCTGGCTCACATCCCAAAGGTTTTATGACAGGATGGATGCTCAAGGCAGAACCTGGTGCACTCCACGGGGCAGAATGAAATGGGAGGGGGCGTTAAAGTATCTTGCACTTTTAGGGCCGAAAGGGACCCTCTTAGGGTGCTCAGGAGGGGTTGGACAGCCTCTGGACAACCTTCACTTTGGGCACATCCCAGACCTCACGCAGTCTCTCAGGTGGAGCCCCACATTTACGACCTTGGCAGTTCATGTGACAGGTTCCTGATCTGGTCAACTTCCTTGTCTTACAGATAAGGGAAGAGGAATGAAGTGACTTCTTCCAAGTAACAGCCAGCAGCAGCTGTGCAGTGGTTTTAGTTTATGATGATGATTAATCTTAGTGCTGGAGGATCTAACCCAGGGCCTCAGGATTATAAGCTTGTTTAGTCTGTAAAGAGTCAGAAAGGAGCTCTGCTTCCTAGGAAACATAATTCCCACCTGAATGATCCTGAGAAGGATGCGGTCTCCAGTGTCAAATAACCAGAAACTGACCCTGGGGGGTTGTGAGGAGCTCGGCGTCAGCACAGCACCTGCTGGCTTCACCTCAGCCCAGGCCCAGGACACCACGCCTAGGCGCCACATTAAGGTCAGGATGTCAAGGGACCGGCACAGCAGTCTGAGGGTCGGCGACAGCCCCGAGAGAACCTGCTAGGGCAGCCCCAGCCCCAACCCCGTCCGCACCGAGTCGACGCCAGAGCCACGCCCCTGGGGTCGGACACAGTGAAGCTCACCCAAGAAGGAGCGGACCGTGGTGATGGAGTCCCGGTGGCCGTTCCTCAGGGGCGGCGGCGGCGGCGGCGGCCCGGCGGGCGTCCTGGAGGGTGGAGGTGGGGGCTTCCCGCGGCTGGGGGGCTCTGCCCCGTGCATGCGATAGGGCGGGGGCGGCGGGGGTGCGTCCCTGGCACCATTTCGGACCGTGGGGGGCGGGGGCGGGGGCGCTGCGGAGAAAACGCACAAACGCAAGGCAGTGGGTCAGGCTGGTCGGGGCTGGGGGACCATGCGGGCTTCCCCAGGACGGCACATGCAACTCCACGCCGCCTGCCCTGACGGTTTCCTGAACTTTTCTTCCACACAGTGAACTGGGGGATAAACCTATGCCCTGTACTCATGCTCTGCAACCCAGTCAGGAACCCTACCCTTGGGGCCGGGGATTTAGCTCAGTGGTTCCGCCGCCTGCCTTGAAAACAGAGGGACCCGAGTTCGATCCCCAGTACCGGGGAGGGGGGGGACACCCCTACCCTTAGTGGCGTGGTAGCACACAGGCCCGCGATCCCAGCGCTCTGAGAAGCTGAGCCCATCCTGGGCATCGCAGTAAGACGATGCCTCAAAGTAAAATGGAGCGAAGGCTGGCGAGGTCACTCAGTGCGAAGGTTCTAGGTTCAGCCCCCAGTAACACACATGCACACACATGCGCATGCATGCCCACAAACGAGGGAGGGAAGAAAAGAACTCTGCCCTCCTACCCTCTGGACCTTGCGTGCGCTCGGCAAGCACTGTACTTTTAATGTTTTATGTTGAGACAGGGTCTTCCTAAGATGCTCAGGCTGCCCTCTTCCATCCTCCTGCCTCAGCCTCCCAAGGAGCTGGCACTACAGCTGGGTACCACCCCTGGCCCTATCTACTCTTGCTGCCTCTTCTGCTTTTCCATGCCTTCCTCCACAATTCTACTTCAGACCCCACACTCAGCCTGTTCTGCAAAAGCTTTTCCAGTGCTTCTAACCTCGCACCCCTCTGATGCATTCAGCAGCCACCAGCTCCCTCATCCCGCTTACACCTGCCACAGTCTTCTGGAGGCTGCGCTCGCCTGCCACTTCCCTCACTTCCTAGGCTGTATCAGATGTCTGCACAGCCTGGATGGGAACCACAGTGCAACTCATCTTCCCCAGGTTTGGTGTCCGGGGCCCTCACCTGGGTGCCCGAGCCCAGCCAATGAGCCAATGCTGGGCACAGGGCTTAGGAGGCCGAACCGCCTAGGCCTCGTTCTGCGGCTCCCTCTCCTGCCCCCACCACAACCAACCCTCAAGGTCATTCGAGTCCCCCTTCCCAGGGGACCCAAAGGCTACCCACTCTCTTCTGACCCCGCCCCAGCAGAGACGCTGTCACTGAGTATGGGGGTGACAGAACAGACTGAAGTGAGCATTTGCTGCCCCCAGGGATGCATCTCCAGTGACAGACTCACTGCTCAGAAAACCTGGGAGGTCTCTTTTAAGGTGCGTGGGAATCAGGCTGTCACACGGAACCACGGACAGCACTACACGAGGGCCACATCTCACCTCCAACCCGAACACTTCTACCTCTGCTTCTTGGCCATTTTCAAAAACCCAATTCACCCTTTAAAGACACAATTTCCCTCCCAGAAGGCAGTCAAAAGCATGCTTAAAAAGTGGCAACATCGGGGGCCGGGGATCTAGCTCAGTGGTTCTAGCGCCTGCCTCACAAGCACAAGGATCCGAGTTCGATCTCTGGTACCAAAAAAAAAAAAAAAAGTGGCAACATCTCTGGGCAGACGCTCACGAGCCTCACGCATTACTAGTCAGTCTGTAGGCTCTTCAGTAACAGCAGCAGCAGGTACCATTTACTGTGGACAAACTATAACCCGGGCATTTTACTATGTATTTCATCTTTTTAAACTCTTAGGTGTTTTCTTTTTATTTTGGTACGGGGAATGAACTCTGGTCCTTGTGCTTGCGCAGCAGGCAGCGAAACCACTGAGCTAAATCCCCGGCTCATCTTTTTAAACTCTTAAAGCTACCCCCACAAAGTACATGGGCTTTTTTTTTTCTTTTTGAATCATCATTCTTTTTTTTTGTGGAACTGGAGATCGAACTCAGGACCTTGCACTTGCAAGGCAGGCGGTGGCACCACTGAGCTAAATCTCTAGCCCTTTTTTTCTTTTTGAGACAGGCTCTATGTAGGCCAGGCTGGCCTCAAACTCATGGCACTCGTCCTGGCTCAGCCTCCTGGGTGCTAGGATAATAGGTGTGTGCACCACACCTGCCAAAAGTATGCAGTTCACCCCAGTCACAAGTGAATAAACTGGGACTCAGGTTATGTGACGAAGGTCACAGCCCTGATAAAATCAGACTGAGCACAGGTGTGCCCTCCACACTCCCAGCTTTTCCTAATCACTTCCACGTGTACTTTACCTCCCCACCTAGATTTACAACGGCGACTTGGAAGCTTGTCAGCTCATCACTCGGTACACAGACCACATCCACAGACCACATCTGATAAGTAGTTGTTCCCCAAACAGTACAGGCAGAGACTACTCAGCCTATCAGACACCTTCTAGTTATAACAGTGTTCTAAACTGGGCGTGGTGGGCACCCCTGTAATCCCAACACTCAGAAGGCTGAGGCAGGAGGATAACAAGTTTGAGGCCAGCCTGGGCTATACAGTGAGTTCAAGGCCAAGCTGAATTACATAGAGAGATCCTGTCTCAAAGAAAAAAAAAAATTGAAGCGATGGAACCAGAACCTAAGAACCTTCAACAATAAATTGCAAAAGAACCCCTTGAGTAGGAGATCACTTTGTAGAATCCAAGATAACCCCAATTTGAGGAAAATATGGTATCAATTCTCTCTCTAATGACAGTTTTTAAAGGACCAAAATGACAGTTTTTAATTACTGAGCACCCAGAGAAGATGAAAGATTCCATATCCTTTTAAATATCAATCGATATAGAAATAAAAATAAACATCGTGTGATACCTCCACGCTATGAATTAACAAAGCTAAGCCCTTGAACTACCCAGAGCCCTTCGCACAAAGCCTGCACCATCTGTCAGCCACCTGACAGGCAGCTTTCAGCTGAGAGGTGCCCTAATGCATCACTTTCTTTTCTTTTTTTATTTTTTTGGTGATACTAGGGATAGAACCCAGGACCTCTGCACTGAGCTACATCCCCAGCCCTTTTATATTTTTGTATTTGTCTCACTAAGTCACTAACTGCCCAGGCTGGGCTCCAACATGAGATCCTCCTACCTCAGCCTCCAAGAGTCCCAGGATAACAGCCATACCCTAACTCGCCACTCTTAGGAATCACTGCTCTGGTTACCAATCTGGGAAGCAAGTGGAGGCCTCTTCCAAGCCTGAACAATGGTGATGGCTACTAGACGGAGGAACACAGCTCACAATTTCAAATTTTCCAAGACAATTACAGAGAGAAAAGTGAGACAGGAGAGAGAAGTCTCCAGACATGATGGGTACGCAGCTCAACCTGCACGCACTGCAGTCTCTTCTGCTGCTCTCCCAGAGGTCAGAAAGACAGGCTTCTCTCAGACGAGGCATCTATTTAAATATCCTATGTTTAAATAAAAACCATTTAACCCCGAACTTGGGGCCGGGGGCCACCGTAGCCTGACCGTAGCCTTCTGTGCAGCAAGAATGCCCGGGCCACTGTCTGACATGGTGCTGGCCTCCAGTTCTGGGGTGCAGACCCACAGGGCCCCAACTTAGCAGCGTGGGTTGCTGAGGCCCAAGCGCAGGCCTCTCCTGCTGTGCTGTCCCCTCAGCCTTTCCCAACCTCATGCCGCGACAGGTCTTACAGAGTTGCCAAGGGTGGCCTTGAAGTTTCAATCCTCTGGCCACAGCCTCCTGAGAAGCTGGGATTATACCATGTCACTGTGCCCAACTGGTCAGGAGCTTTTAAGGTGTGCTTCTGGAAGACTTCTATTTTATTTTCAGACAGGGTCTTGCTGTATTGCCCAGGCTCGTCTTGAATCCCTAGTTCAAGTGATTCTCCTGCCTCAGTCTCCCAAGAAAGGGAGACTGCAGGTGGCGCCACCATGTCCAATGACACAACTTCCTGATCAGTGCTCTGCAGCTGTTGAGAATGACTTTGAAACAACAGTTCAAAAGCCACTCGTGAAGAAAAGTCTGGTTTGGGATGGGGATTTAGTTCAGCGGCGCCAGTGCCTGCCTCGCAAGTGCAAGGTCCTGAGTTCGATCTCTGGTACCAAAAAAAAAAAAAAAAAAAAGAAAGAAAAAAGAAAAGTGTGGGTCAAGGTCCACACAAGGATTTGGGAGCCAAGCTTATGGGTCCAATTAGGCCCCGAAGAACTGTAATGGTCACCCCTGCTGTCAAACTTCAGCCATGCTATTTTGTTCAGTGAGCACATAAAACTAGAGGTGGTGGCACATGCCTGTAATCCTAGCACTCTAGGAGGCTGAACCAGGAGGATCCCACATTCTAGCCCAGCTTTGGCAACTTAGGGAGACCGTGTCCCATTCATTCATTCATAAATACATAATAAATAAATGAGCTGAGGATGTATCTCAATGCAAAGGCCCTGGGTTCAATCCCTAGTGCTGGGAAAAATAAAATAAAAATAAAAATCCCACAAATTCTTTCCGCTACTCCCCCACCCCCACCTTGAGACAGAGCCCTGATAAATCAGTTGCCTGGGCTTGGGGCAAACCTGCACTCCTGCCTCGGGCTCCCAGAGTGCCGAGAATACTGGTGTGTGCAGCCATGCTGGCTCTCTTCTTCCCTAAAATTCCTTAATCCCCCGTGTCATGGTTTACATCCCACTGTGCTCATGGGTGGGACTTTGGGGAGGTGACAGGACCCTGGAGGCGGGATGCTCATCAGTGGGTTCCTCACCTGAGGAGTGCAGAGCTAAAGATAAGGTGAGGGTGGGCCTGGAAGGGGCACCACGGCCCCCTTCCATTCCTCCCTCGCCTCTCTGCTTTGGGTCTGCCAACCCCTGGCTTGGACCCAGCTATGGACTGAAACATCTGCAAAACAACCTCTCCTCCTGTACCATGCTAGTGTCAAGTACTCCGTCCCAGTGGCAATGCTTAGGCTTCATGGTCCATGAAGACAGCAGCCTGCTCCACCCTCCCAGAGCCACGGATGCCCCAGTGACCATGGCATCTCCTGTCCTCTCCTCCCAGACCCAGGCCACAGCTGATGCGCTCACTTCAATTTCTGGGAGAGAACAAACGAATTAGAAGAAACCCCACATGCTTGCTCCTCCCCTCCAGCTTGCCCGCCCTCTCCCTGTCAGATGGAGACCAACCTGGAGACTGACCTGCTGCCTAGGCCGCTCCCTGCCAGGCCTGCACCATCTCCCCACCTGCTCAGGAGAGCCACTCCCTGTGACTGCTTCATGCTATGTACTCTTCCTTCAGGGTGGAAATAGGGCCCGCCCAGGGTGGAAACCCGTGGCCTCCTCTAGCAAATATCTCCCTTATGTGTACTCACATGCATATACACCCGCCTTTACACACACTCAAGAAATACCTACACTGCCACCTATAATTCCTATTCTTTTTTTTTTTTTGGTACCGGGGATTGAACTCGGGACCTTGCACTTGAGAGGCGGGTGGTGGAACCACTAAGCTAAATGCCCGGCCCAATTCCTACAATCTTTGTTTTCTCTGGAAAGGGGATTGAAAACACAGCCTTCATACTAAGCTACATGCACAGCCCTTTTTTTTTTTACAATCTTGAGACATTTTTGCTAAGATGCAAAGCTGCCCAGGCTGGGCTTAAACTTGCAATCCTCCTGCTTCAGCCTTCCAGACATTGGGATCACACTGGGATCATCGAAGTGTATCACCATGCATGGCTTGTTTTGTTGTTGAGTTTTGAGTTTTTTGAGACAAGGTCTCACTATGTACTTCAGATTGGCCTTGAACTTGTGAAGATTCTCCGGCCTCAGCCTCAGTGCTGGGTGGGATTATAGGCATGTGTCACCACACCCAGGCCCTCTGGCTTTTTTTTTGGTACCAGAGATCGAACTTGGGACCTTGTGCTTCCAAGGCAGGTGGTGACACCACTGAACTAATTCCCCTGCCCCCTCTGGCTTATTTTTGAGGCAGGGGTCTCAGTGCATTGCCCAGGTTGGCCACAAACTCCTGGGTTCAAGCGATCATCCTGCCTCAGCCTCCTGAGTCACTGGGATCCACTCCTTTTTGTTTGTTTAGGTTTTTTGAGACAGAGTCCCTATACATAGTCAGTCTGGCCTTGAACTCAGTAGCCCAGGCTAGCCTGGAACTTGAGGTGATCCTCCTGGCTCAGCCTCCAGAGCTGGGATTACAGGCGTGCACCACCACCCAGCCACTGAACCCACTCCAAGTTAAGCCCTCACATTCACTGTCGGCCATCCCCCTGGGCCTATTCAGAAAGGCCCCTGCCTGCACAGTTCCTGCTCTGCAACTCCGGAGCCTGCCCAACAGGAGCCTGGCCAGCACAGGGCACAGGCGATGCTCCCTTCATGCTCTCAAGAGGGGCTCTGGGTTTCCCCGCCAGGCTCTGGCAGGCCAGGCCCTAACCTCTCCCCAGTGTGCTCCTCTGGGTCACCAGCCCCTGGGGGACAGCCACGCTGGAGGCTTACTCATTGCATCCCTCTACCTCTGCCAGCACGGCCTCTCTGCAGCTCAGAATACATGGCTGCCCCCTGCAGGGTGACACCCCCCCACCCCCCACCCCTCAGCTCCGGGGTCTCTGAAGCACACTGTACTACACACTATGCATTTCACTTGTTGCTCCAAAAGAATTTCCTGACTCTTCCGTCATGGCTGTTTCCCTCATAACAGAGGGTGACACATGGAAAGGGGCTCAGTGCAGCAGAAGGGAGGCGTGAACTCTCCTCCAGGGACCTGGGGAAGCAGACGGGCACTTACCTGCCCCTCTTCCAGGAGGCTCCCGGGCTGGGGGAGGTGGCCGACTGCTCAGTGAGGAGGGGGAGGCCGAGGCAGGCGGAGGAGGTGCGAGGCCCCGCACAGGCCCTGGTGTCTTCCTGTGCAGAGAGTTGTGTCTCTGCGGCAGCTCGGGTGCCGGCTCGTTTGTGGGGCTGGAGGGCCCGTTGGGGACGCCCGGAGGCTGGCGGTAAGGCGGTGGCGGCGGGGCCAGAGACTGGCCACTTGGTCCCACTCGGAAGTTCACAGGGGAAGGTGGCGGCTTGACCAGGGGTGGCGCAGGTGGCCCCTCACGCCCAGGGTGCAGCCTCTGTCCCGGGGTGGGTGGCAGGGGCTTCTCCCGGCTGTAGGCCAGGGCCTTGGTGCCGTGCGTGGGCAGGGGTGTGGGGGGCGCATTGGCACGCCGGCCTGGGGGCGGGGGCGGGGGCGCCGAGGAGCTGTGCTTCATGCCTGTGCTGCTGGTGGCGCTGGGCCGTGAGAGGTCGGGGAGTGAGGGGCGCTGCATCCGGGGCAGCTCAGGGAGGGAGGCGCGGCCGCTGTCTGAGTCGTCCTGGGGACGCCCGCTGGCTGCAGACGCCGGGGGCCTCGGGGCAGCCGCTCGAGATGCGGGGGTGTGCGGGGCTGGCTTCCCCGGCAGCCCCTCTGCGGACACAGCTAACAGGGTCAGTGGCCACCTCCCAGCTGGAGGAGCCCGTGTCCCCAGCCTCCACCATGGGGCAGCACAGGGACAGGACCTACACACCTTGAGGCCCTCCTGGCTCTGCTCTCATTCACCTGTCTTCATCTGGGAGGGAACCAAGGCCTCCTGCTTACAAAGCACTCGTCCCACCATGAACTGCACCCTGGGACCTACTTCTGAGCTTTAGTCTGGCTTGAGCCTCAGAGCCCATTAACAAATACTGCAGATAAGCTGAGTATATTTTAAACTTTGATTTAACTTTTTGTGTTTTGGTACCGGCGATCGAACTCAGGACCTTGCACTTGCAAGGCAGGCACCAGAACCACTGAGCTACCTCCCTGGCCCCTTTGATTTAATTTTTAACTGACAAATAATTGTACATATTTATGGGATAGTATCTGTCTGCATTGTAGCATGATTCAATAGAGCTAACTCACATAATCATCACCTGACAGCTTACCTGTCATGCCACTTGGAATCTGCTCTTTCAGAAGTCTGAGCTACACTGACGACCGTCACGCTGCACAGCAGCTCGCTACCGAAACCATCCTGTGCCCCACACCTGCCCGCCAGCCTGGCACCGCCACTCGGCTCCCTGCTTCCAGGCTCCAGCCCTTGGATCCCACACACCAGAGTGAGGTCACACAGTGTCGCCTGTGTGTCCTCTGGGTCTGGTCATGCTGTCGGGTTACTTGGGTTACAGGCCAGTTGAATACCCTGCTTCGTGTGTACACGAGTGTCCTTCACTGACGGGAAGCCCTTTCTATTCCTAGACTCAGCCTCTGCTCTATTCCACGGTCTCCTTCTGCCCCGCCCTCCTCTTGCCATCCGCCCCCTCCCAGGCGGACATACCTGCACTGTCCTTGGTCCCCACAGGCCGCAGCTTTGGGACCCCTCCTTGGAAGAGACCTCCCTTGGGCTGCAGGGCAGCGGCTCCTGAGCCATAGCTGCCGCCGCTTCCTTTGGGCTCTGCAAAGTACAGCATGAGCGTTTTCAGTTCACAGCTCTGAGCTGGGGACCAAGGCGATCCTGAGGAAAAACCACCGCCTCTCTCTGGGCTGCAATTTGCAAACAAACCACTCTGCTTTGCCTTTGCATTAGAGGAAAGCTAGCACAGTGATGGAAGAAAGAACAGAGGGAACACGGAGCCCCTCTTCCCGGTGCTCTCAGGGCCTCCTCTGCGAGTCCCAGACAGTAAGGGGCCAGTGAAGCAGGGCCAGGCCCCAGCTGAGGAATGATACTTCAGCAACTCTCAAACCACCCTGGTGGCCAAGAGGCTCCCAAGGATGCGTCTCCTCGGACAGCAGCAGCCAGGGACGTGCCCCAACAAGCACTAGTGCAGCCAGAGGTGGGAGAAACCTCTCAGGTGCTCAAGTGAGCAGCCGGGAAGATGCAGGGGACAAGGACTGTTCCCAGGCAGAACCTCCAGGACATCGAGGACAGCAGCAGCCCTGCTGAGGCTCCAGTCAGCCTGGGACCCCGAGGCTCACCAGCGGAAGTGGGGACTTACTCTCCAGGGCCGGAGCGCTCCGGTCGTTAATGTTGGTCACCTTCTTAAGCTTGGTCCCTTTGCAGATGTCCTGCAAGAGTGCGTTGCGACCTCGCTGCTCATCTCTGCTCAGCTTGGGCTGCTCTGTGTTTGCCTGGAGGAGGAGGGAGAGAAGACAGATGTCACAAGCTCGGCACGCGGCTTAGCCCTGTCTGGGTTCCCCAAAGCAACCTGTGCACCCTGCTCAGATGCACGTGCTGAATAGCAATGCACACACCACCAGCTTCTCTGCCTCTTCACTCCTCTCTGCCTTCTGTGAAGGGCACAGATCCCCGTCCCAGGTCCCGGGTTCTGAAGGAAGCCTGCGCTGGTACTGGGGTTTGTGCAGGGCGCTGTGTCACACACAGCACTGTCACCTGGGAAGTGTTTACCAAGACCCATTATGCCTCAGCTGTGGACTGAGGACGCTACTTGTGCTACCTCATCTAAGTCTTGAAGTCGTGCTAGGAGAAGGGCATTGGCAGCATCATCCCCATCTGCAAAGTGTGGATTGAGCTGAGCAGCTTCCTAAGGCCGGGCAACCGGGAAGCAAAGCGCGGTCCCCCAGCCAGCAGGAACTCCAGCTCCCTACCTTATCTCAACCCGTGCAGGCTGGCTGCTCCCACCACTAAACAGGAAAGCAGACTATATTATTCCCATCCCAGAGACGGGGAATAAAGGCTCAGGAAAGTCACCATCGTGTGACTGGCAAGCAGAGCCTGACTCACATGCTGTTCTGACCGCCTTCTCTGCGCCCCGGCTGCCCCTTCACTGTCTTTCAGGCCTTTATCTCCTCTGAAGCGCGGTCCCCCGCAGCTATACCCTCTGCCTCGTCTGACTGTTCTGCAGCAAGCTCATCCAGCAGCAAGGTCTGTACACCACACAGGGGCCCCAAACGCTCCAATGCTTCCATTTGGTTCCCCTGTGTCTGCCCTGAGTGTCATTTCCATCTACACCACTGTCCACAGGACATTTCTATGTGAGCATCTGTGCTGTACATGGACCTGAGGGGAAGACTCCATTGTGCACAGGCTTGTAAGCTCAGCACTCGAGGAGGCTGAGGCAGGAGGACCACAAGCAGGAGCCTAGCCTGGTGACTTGGCGAGACCTTGTCATTCCTTCATTCATTCATTCAAAAATAAACAAATGAGGGCTGGGGATTTAGCTCAGTGGTTCCGGTGCCTGCCTTGTATATGCAAAACATACACTGTGTTAACACAGGTTAATTATATTTTGTTTTCTGTTTTGATCAGTATTTCCTAACTTTCTACAAACATTTTTAGTACAGTAAGTTTTAAAAATACTACTCTTATTGGGGCGTGGCGGTGCATGTCTGTAATCCCAGCACTCAGGAGGCTGAAGCAGGAGAGTTATCTTGAGTTCAAGGCCAGCTTGAACTAGATAGAAGGAGCCTGTCTCAAAGACACCACACATATACATGCGCGCACAGCTACTCTTTAAAAGACCAAAAGCAAATGAAAGAAACTATTGAACATTCAGTGATCTACCAAGTCCTTCTCAATGTAGGAACAGGTAGGGCAGCAGCTCAGAAATTAACTAGGTGCCTACAGCACAACATCTTTCCAAAAGCAGCTCCTCGGGGAAGAAGGAAGCACGGACACACAGCTGCCGTGACGGGTGACAGCTGCTTTCTGCTTAGCCACAGCTTCTAACTTTTTTTTCCAGTACCAGGGATCAAACTCAGGACCTTACGCTTTCGATGCAGCCAAGGCACCACTGAGCTACATTCCTGGCCCAGTTTCTCAATTTTTGCACATAATGATTTAGTAAAGAGAAAATTATTAAATACTATTGGGCACATCCAAAATTGAGCTTTACTCTCCTCAGTAAAGCTGCTCGCTTTGTGAACAGCACCGTCATCCAGTCAAACCCTCACACCACAGTCGTTCGACCTTATTCTTCTCCCTCTCTCTCTTTCTCTCTCTCTCTCTCTCTCTCTCTCTCTCTCTCTCTCTCTCTCTCGTCACCAAACTGACTTGTGGTGTTTCTTTGTGCAGTATTGGATTGAACCCAGGGCCTTTGCACTGAGCTACATCCCCAGTCTTTAATTTTTCAGTACTGGGGATCAAACTCCGGTCCTTGAGCTTGCAGGGCAGGCCTTTTTTAATTTTTAATTTTGAGGCAAGGCCTTGAACTTGCTATGCGGACCAAGCTGAGCTTGAACTTTTGATCCTCCTGCCTTGGCCCCCACAGTGCTGGGGTTACAGGTGTGGAGTACTGTGCCCGGTACTGGACTCTTCAAGATTTTACTTTCGAAATACCTCGTCTCTACTCTGCTGAGCCTCGCTCTCCCACAGCCCAGTCTTCCTGTCCTGTCTCAAAGCCCCACTCCAACCTGGCCATCCACACCAGAGTAACTTTTCTGCTACACAGTTGAGCAAGCCACTCCTCCTGGAGTCAGGAGGTCATGTCCCCGGCAGAAGGAAACCCCAGTCTTGGCCTGCATCCTCACTGTGCAGGGCTGATGAACCCGAAGGTGTGCCCTCTGCCCCTTCTGCCCAGGCCACAGCAGGCAGCTCTCCTACTGCCTCACATACTGCACAAAATCTTCTCCACAAGGGAGCTCACGCATGTCCAAGAGCACACAATGCATGTGAACCCAGAGGCTGCAGGAAACCCTCGGCTGGCAGCCCTTCCTCTCCAGGCCAGAGTCTTCCCGGCAAGCACCAGCTGGAGACTGGGAAGCAGCACACAGGCCTGGGGGCCTTTTCTCTGGAACTACTCTCACTTCGAGATTTCCCCCAGTAAGAAGGCACAGACTCCTTCCAATGTGATCCCAGGGGTCACAACCCAGGTAGGGCGCAGGTGGCCGCCTCCTGGGTTCAGAACCTACAGAGCTTTTCCTCCATCACTGAGCCTTTCAGGCTTCTTACCAATACACTCCTTACCTGATGTCCCCTGTCCCTGTGGGTGTGGCACTGGGACTGAACCCAGGGCCTTCCCACTGCACTATACCCCCAGCCCGTTTTTATTTTGAGACCAGGTCTTGCTAAATTGCTAAGTTTCATAGGCTGGGCTTGACCTTGCAATGCTCCTGCCTGGGCCTCCCAGAGCACTGGGATGATATGCCTGCACCCCCACATCCTGCTTCCCAAGCCTTTCTCTTTTTTTGGTTTTGGGGATTGGACTCAGGAACCTGCACTTACAAGGCAGGTGCAGTGCCACTGAGCTAAATCCCTGGCCCAACTCTTCTTTCCTTGCTAGGGTGTAAAGCATGATGGCCTTGGCTGTAAAATGAGCTGGTCTCAGGACTGGTTTAACTCAGTGGTGCTGCCACCTGCCTTGAAAGCACAAGGTCCTGAGTTCGATCCCCGGTACCCCTCCCCAAAATAAAATAAACACACCCCCAGGAACAACCATCCCTTTTCTCAAGGATCCCAGAGAAATGGCACACGGACCTTTGCAGAGAGAATAGCTCAGGGAGAAACCCCCATCCCCACTGCAAGGCCACTGGCCCAAATCTCCATCAGGAACAAGCTTGTCCAAGCGTGGCCCAGGGACAGCATGGCCCACAGGACTGTAACCTTTCAACATCATCAGCACTGCTACTGGGACTTTCTGTGACTGGGCTGCATGGTGCTCAGGGAGAGACTGTGCAGGTGACAACAGAGCAAGGTGCAGGGGTCAGCGCTCCACACTTGCCACAGAGTGGAAACCCGTGTGTCCCAGGCACTCATGTGTGTGTGACCAGCGATTCCTGCAAACAGTGCTGCACCCTCCTGACATGTGTGCCGACGAACACAGGCACTCACCGTTACTGAGCAGACTCGGAAGCGTTCTTACCTAATCGTTAAACCTGGGCATGTTGTTATCTCATAAAATAATGTTAAAATTGTTTTTTAGGGGCCAGGGATTTAACTCAGTGGTTCCACCGCCTGCTGCGCAAGCGCAGGACTCGAGTTCAAACCCCAGCACACACACAAAAAAATGGTTTTTTAGCAGCTGTGGTAAAGGAAGCACAAAAGTGTATTAAACAGTTTATTTGCAGGCCGGAGATTTAGCTCAGTGGTTTTGCTGCCTGCTGCGCAAGTGCAAGGATCAGAGTTTGATCCCTGGTACTGACAAAAAAAAAAAAAAAAAAAAAAAAAGTTTATTTGCTCAAGGCAGTGTTCTAATGACATCACCAAGACTGGAGATGTGCTAATTAAAAAATAAAGGCCGGGCCGGGGATTTAGCTCAGTGGTTCCAGTGCCTGCCTTACAAGCACAAGGTCCCGAGTTCGAGCCCCAGTACAAAAAAAATTAAAAAATAAAAAATAAAAAATAAAGGCCGGTCCACTAGTTACACGTGAACTGTGTATCATATGTTTTGCCCAAGGCTCCTCCTCCTCACCCAGCATGGCCCAGTCAGGCCAAGGCTGGGCACCCACGGTGTGGGACCAGCCAGGGCAGGGACACTCACCACGCGAGCAGGCCACGAGGGCGCTGTCCGTGCAGTGAACAGCTAAGCAGCCGACAATACGAGCACTGAAGCCCCGCGACCCTGGAGCTCAGAATGGCAGGAACACCTGCAAGCTTTGGCCAAAGCAGGCAGTGAGACCAAGGGCCTGCTTCCACAGGCAGAGGCGCCTGGCGGAGGACCACCCACCTGATTAAAAGTGGGGGGCGGGGGGCCAGGCGGGGGCGGCGGGGGCGGCGGGATTGGCATCCTTGCCCTGCTCCCAGTTGGCACTGCTCTCTCTCCGTCTCCCCCTGCAGCCTTAGGTCACTCATATACCTGCAAATGAAAGAGAATCTGTCAGACAAACAGCACCACCAGAGTCACTGAGTGCGAGGAGGACCAAGCACAGCACCCGAGAGGGACTGAGTGTTCATGTCCTGGGTCCACCGGGACACAGTCCAGGCCATGGGGCATTTTCTCTGGGAAAGGCTTTGTGGGAGACACAGTGTCTGCTGCAGGTCACGCCTGGTTAACATCGAGGCCAGCACGGTGGATGGAAGCACAACCGAGCCCCAGCCCAGCCCAGCCCAGCTCTTCCTTACTGAAAAGCACAGAGAGACACATCCTCAGGCCCAGACTCCAGCACTGCAGGGTCCTCCTGGTGCACGCACGTGTCCGTGTCGGTGACAATGCAGTGATACGACCCCCCGCTGCTGTTTCCAGTCCTGTGTTTGTTTTTGGTACCAGGGATTGAACTCGGGTCCTTGTGCTTGCTCAGCAGGTGGCGAAACCACTGAGCTAAATCCCCGGCCATTTCCAGTCCTTTGACTCGTGTCTGCCTATTCCTCTCTATACCTGCTTCCTGGTTCTTCCTCTCCAGAATGTCAGTGTTCTGTGAACTGTCAAACAGAGATGAAACCACAGGCTAAGCAGCATTGTCAGGAGGACTTCTTTCACCCTGCACCCTGCACTGAAGTGTCCCCCATTGCCTTCACAGCATGACAGCTTGAGAGCTCTTTTCTCTCCCACACAGGAGTCTCACCACAGTATCAAGGCTGGTCTCTAACTCCTGGGCTCTAGTGATTGTCCTGCCTATACACACCACCACACCCAGCTTACAGCTCTTCTCAGTGTTGAGTAATAGTCCACTGTCCAGATGGACCTCGGACTAGCCATGTCCTTCTACAGACACACCCGTGTGCAGGGTTTCCTGTGGATACCAAGGAGTGGGACAGCTGGACCACATGCTGGGATCATGTCCAGCTCTGCCAGCTCCGCACACTCCTCCCAGCGTGGCTGCACACTCTGAACCCACAGGGAGAGGGTGGTTTCTGTGGATCCACACCCTCGCCGGCCTCTGGCGCTGTGGGCATTCTCGACGTTGGGCGTTCCGGTAGGTACAGAATGGGATGCTGGTTTTTTGAAACAGGGTTTCACTCTGCAGTGCAGGCTGGCCTTAAGCTCACAACCCTGCCTCAGCCTCCAGGTTGGTATCCTGTTTTTCTTGTATTTGGGGAGGGGGTTAGTACCAAGGATCGAACTAAGAACCTTGTGCTTGCCAGGCAGGTGTGACACCACTGAGCTGCATCCCGGGTCCGGTACTCTGTTTTTGTGTGTAGTTCCCTAGCACACAGTGTAATCGTGAATACCTGTTCTATGCTTTGTTTTGTTTTTTGAGACAGGGTCTGGCTATGCAGTTCAGGCTGGCCTCAAAATCACAGTGACCCTCCTGCCTGAGCCTCCCGAGTGCTGCGAGTTCTTGTGTTTCTTGTCATCTATAACCTCTGGAGAGGTGTCTACTTCAGGCTGTTGGCCTCGGTTTCCTTCCTGGTGGCTGCTGCTCTATCCCTGAGGTACACCCTTGGCTCTACTGACCTTTTCTAAACTGGGCCGTTTTGGTTTCCCAGTGTGAGGTTTTAAGAGCTCTCCGTACATTTTGGATGACGGTGTAGCGTAAGATACGCCTTTTCCAAATTTTTCTCCTGGTCTGTGGCTTGTCTGCTCGTTCTCCTGATTTTTACAACCCCTTAAAATCTGAGAGCCATTTTCAGTTTGTGAGCCACCCAAAAGCAGCCGGTGTAGTGCATGGGACCCACCGGCCAGAGTTCCCTGGTACCTGGTACAGCCACAGCCACACAGCATGGGCAGGCATCGGCCCCACACGAGGCCACGCAACTCTGACACTCACACTCAGCAGCTGTCCCTCAGCCAGTCTGCAGGGGAAACCCAGAGGCCTAACTCACCCAAGACGTGAAAGTAAGGAACCAGAGGAACCAGAACTGAGGAAGAGTACACACATCTCTCCAAAAAGCTCGGCACCAAGGAAATTCCATTCGACAGAAACAAAAAGGGAAGCCAAAACAGTGAGATGGCTCTCACATAAGGTGACCAGCATCGCCATGGATGCGCCAGGAGCAGTGGTGAGCAAGGCAACTCAGGAGCTCAGACACAGGACTCACAGGCCACCTGCAGCACACACGGGAGACCAAACGCACCGAGGCGGGCCTCAAGATCAACCGGCAGCAGACACAGTGGCCATGCCTGTGACCCCACCCTGAGGGAGGCTGGGGCTCAAGAATCACCAGTTCAAACCCAGCCTGGGCAATGTGGCCACTTACTGAGACCTTGTATCAAAAAAATAAAAGAGCTGCAGCTGCAGCTCCCTGCAAAGGCCCTAGGTCCCATCCCCAATACTACCAGAGGTGGTATGAAGGGGTCAAACCAGCAAACCCCTGGGAAGGCCGGGCTCTTTCTGATGATTTCCCTGCAGGGTAACCGAGACCTCTTAAATAAGGAACTGACCTCAACTTTGCTCTATGCCCTGGGAACGATGAAAGGGAAAATATTCCTAATGTTCTGTAAACCAGGAGAGAACTGATGAGACTTGTGACCAGAAATCACCACAGCTTCCAATCTTGCCAGTGGCCTTGGGCCGCCCGGAGCTGTGCGCGCAGACACAGACAGCAGCGATGGTACTCAGCTGGTGGCTCTCACGGGAGGGTGTCTTAACCCCCTCCACACCTTCTCAGTTCTGGTTTCAAAGCTAAATGGTATTTCTGCATATGGATCTAACACAACAGCTGTTAAAAACTGATCAAAATATAGCCAGGTATGGTGACACACACCTGTAACCCTAGCCCTGGAGGCTGTGGCAGGAGGATCCCAGCCTAGACAACTTAGCAAACCTGTCTCAAAATTAAAGAGGGTGGGGGAGACTGTGGATGTAGCTCCGTGCAAAGGCCCTGAGTAGTTCAATCCCCAGTACTTCACACAAAAAAGACAAATTCAGGCCTTTTGAGAGCACTGTCTATTACAATGAGAATCTAATATTGTGAGGTTAAACCTGAAACAACTAGAAAGCTCTCTACAGAATTACTTCTTTTCCGATCTATTAAATTAGAACTAAAGCCTCATCCATGGCTCTTCAGGGCCCTTGATTTTCAGAAACATTTTGAGTTCAGCAGCACAGTGCTTCTCATGTCCTTGGTGAGCCCTGCTGGTGAGCCCTCCACGTCCTCAGGAGTCAGGTCTTTGAGTAAGATGAAGGCATTATTTACATTATCCCAATATCAAACATATCAGAATTCAGAGATATGTCTTCACAGCTCTTGAGTAATGTAACTTAAAAAAGTGCTTCCTTCTAAAAACTCACTTTTCTACTTAATTTCCTAATGTTTCAGAGCAAATATTCCTACAGTTGAAGAACAGGAGACTTCCTTAGTCCAGACACCAACTATTGTCTTTGCATTTGATAGATGAAGGATCCAATTTAGTTGTTGCTTTTTCATATACTTAAAATTATCTAAGAGGTATCCTAGTTACCACTACAATCTGGAGCCTTATTCAAATGGCATTTTGCTGCTACAAAACTGCAGGTTATTTTAAAAAGAAAAAAACATTCTAAATCTTAGTATTACCTTCTACTTTCATACCTCAGGAAACAGCCCTTTCCTTTTATTTCAGTTTAGATTACAAAGTAAATTATAGTTTTCAAAGTAACCAGCAAAATCCTAAAGTGCTGGAGAAGGAATGACTTCAAAAGTAAACTATGTGGGGCCGGGGATTTAGCTCAGTGGTTCCGCCGCCTGCCTCGCAAGCACAAGGTTCTGAGTTCGATCCCCGGCACACAAAAAAAGTAAACTGCGACCAGGCAGGGTGGTGCGTGCCTGCAATCTCAGCACTCTGGGAGGCTGAGGCAGGAGGATCAAAAGTTCAAGCCCAGCCCAGAAAACTCAGTGACTTAGCAACACCCTGTCTCAAAATAAAAAATTAAAAAGGGCTAGGGACGTGGCTCTGTGGGAGGGCATTGGGTTCAATCCCAGTACTGCAAAATAAAATGATAAAATTAAATATACACAGCAAGCTGCCTCTCTTGCACCTCAAAGTCTTTTTTTTTTTTTGGTACCAGGGATCGAACTCGGGTCCGTCCACTTGCGAGGCAGACAGCGGAACCACTGAGCTAAATCCCCGGCCCCTGTTCCTCAAAGTCTTAAAGGCCTTGCTGTGCCTTGGGAGACTGAGCCACACTAACAGAAAGTTCGGATCTCGACAAGAGAATCATCTCAATACAGATTCAAGTATTTAACATCCTCTTAGGTCTTTTCCCAGTACACACACACACACACACACACACACACACACACACACACACACACAGATGAAGGTGAAACACATCCAGGATCTCTGAAAGATCGCAATGGTCTCTAAATAACCTGAGGAAGAGAAAGCTGTGTCTGCAGTGGATGGGGTTCCAGACACCCCCCAGAACCGTGTTCTTCCACCCCGCTGTTCAGTGATGAGCTCTCTCCGCACAGCACAAAGATGGAAGACAAACAGTTGGTGGAAAGAGAAAGCCAGTTCCTCTGTGACAAACAAAGTCCCATCTTAATAGAGAATGGAGTTTTTGTTCTGTGTATTTTAATCTCGCCCAGAAGGAACTGCAATCTTGTTGAACAGGGCTTCAATAACTCAGTAAGAGCTGGGTGTGGTTCCACACAACTATAATCCCAGCTTCTGGGGAGGCCTGAGGGAGGAAGGTGGCAAGGGCGAGGCTACCCTAGGCAATTTAGTGAGACAGTCTCAAAATTAAAAAAAGGAAAAGGGCTGGGGCTACAGCTCAGTGGTGGAGCACTTGCCTAACATATACAAGGTCCTGGGTTCCATCCTTTGTATCACCAAACAAAACCAAACCAGATGGGTGATAGAACTTTGAGCATGGATATTAAAACCCACTGATGGATGAATCAGCCATTCATACTCTTTCTACACAACTGTCTCTAGAATTCATTCACACTGAACAAATTCAAAACGACCATGTCTGCTGGGCGTGGTGGCAC